GCTCCGTGATATCATTGTGTAGATGTGTCCGGAGGCGTCGATCCCATACTATCAGAGTTTTGTGTGAATAACACCAAAATAATGCCTAGTATTAATGGAGTATCTCTTTCCACGGTGAAATAAGTTATTCGTAACAGAGGCATTATGAGATAAAAATCAAATGCGAAAGGACCTGTCATGGTCACCATATCCACAGTGAAATATTTACTCAAATACAGGAAGCTGTAATGTTTAGTGAAAAACGTCACTGGGGAAGTGTTTATGGTGTGTTTCTTGACTTGGCGCCGCCATTGAAAAAGCACGTTACGTATCGAGATAATAAAATTTAGTATTAGGAAGTAATAAAGGAAAATACTTCTCCCTGAGTGAAAAGAAACAGCACCCCGCAAGGCTTAATGTCGATTCTTTCAGGTACCTGACTTTACAGAGCATTTTTATCTCATGACGAACCCAGGAAGTATTGAAACGCAAAATAATAAATGTAAAAGGAATGTTGACTCACTAAATAATCGTAACTGCAAGATCTGTTTTCTTTTGTAATGAAAACAACGCCTCTTTTTTATGACCTTTTGACATCGAGGTCATCGATAATTTGAGGGAGGTAATGGTTGAAAGCGTCGTTGTATTTTTGTTGTTGTTGTTGTCGTTTTGCGTGATATTATGCATTTTATTTGTTAGTCAGAGTCGATTTTTTTAAAAATATTTATTCAAGAAAAATATATTGTATTTTAAACAAACACACACCTGTGGCACACGTAATTTGTAATGTTTGTCCTTAAAACGTTTTCTGCTGCAAGGACACCAACATGTACAAGTAAATATATAACTAAAGCCAATACACCGTAGATCTTCCGACAAAATTGAATGTTATGACAATAAGTCCAACCTAGGCCAATCAAAATTGTAACGGAGCTTACTGGATATTTTGCTATTGATAGTTCATTTGGCAGAAAACAAGGGCCTTAAACAGTAAATGCTTTTCAATGTTTTTAACTTCCCTGTTGAAATGGAGGAAAGTGTCATGCCCTTTTTAGTGGGGGTTTTACCGAACGGTCTCTAGTTTACGGAAATCAAGATAGCAAGCTATAATTCAGTTGATTATTGATTTATATTTCAGGCAATTTGCAACGATGGTGTAAATCTGAAAAAATTGTAAATCGATTAGACTTTTATTAATTGATAGGATTTACTTAATCAAGGATCGAAAGGCCATCGATATTGTCACCAAAACGGAATAAAATCAATTAACCAAGGTCTCATTTTTTCTATATAGAGTTAATTTGCCGTCTCACTCGACATATAGTAAAATAAATCCTGTGTGCCGACAATCGACGGCTTTCAAAAATGCCGGAGGACAGATATTATCTTTCGATTGACATCATTTCTGCCACTTGCTGTCATATATAAATACCAGGCAGAGCACAGGGCTAACTAAGACCAAAAGTCGACAAACTTTACTGTTCCCGACCCTTGACAAGGCATGTCTAAACTTTATGACATCGTCTACATGTACCCACTACCCATGCAACGTATTAAATGTGAAATCAAATAGGTTTAAGTCTCGCGCCTGCTGCGAGTAAAATATAAGGTCTGGAAGTCTACAGAAAGGACATGTCCACATCTAGCAGCTATGCCAAGTATTGTCACAGATCTAGACCCTTGAACACTGAATAGTGGTCCTTAACTGTATACCAATCGATATAGATATAGTGTAAGAGTGTGACATAATATCCTGCATCGAATACCAAATGATTTGCGTGGAATTATGTTAGAGAGTAAGGTCTCTGAATATTAAGGTGTCCTTGCTGGGTATTTGTAATTGGTCAGACAGACAGCATTCGAGCGTGATTTATATTCATTACCAGCAGAATTCTTCGTAAAATATTATCCAAAAGCGTCTTGCTCTTGGTGTGTGTGTATGTGTGTGTGTATGTTTGAACTTTATGTACGTGTCAGCGGCCAGTTTATGAGTCCAGGGGTGGTACATTTTCTGATGCCCACTCACAAAATCATTGCTTGATATTACGCAACAGTAACAAAGCGCGTTACCAATTATTGTACGGGTCCATCGAACCCCTGCAGTCGACTGTGAGGGTCATCAGGTATATTGCAAATACCTGGTGTGTATATATTAAATAACCTGCACCGGGTTTAACATTGTTCCTCAAATACAGACAGCTACATATGTGGGTATTACGTGAAATCTGGGGACACTTTTGGGGCATTACACCCATATTAATGGAGCTCACTGAGAGGCCGTACTTGACGCTGTCTGCCGTGTTATGTAATGCAATGCATAAACCCTATTAGTAAAAGTAATGCTAAAATAAAACTCTAGCTCAAATATGCGGGCTTTGTTTGATCAAGGAGGTCCTATACCGCCTAGGTTTGATTCAAATTCGCTTTGGAAGACGGTCATTTGGTAGTAATAGTTTATAAGGCACGACGGCACCGAGGAAGTAATGGATATAATTCACCTATACCGGTGACCAGACCTCACAGAAACCTTCCTTGTGCCTATTTGAAGCCCGTATGATGACGAATAATGACGTCAGCAGATTACCTATTATGACGTTTAATGATGTCGACAAATCCTCTGTGGTGACGTCACTAATTTTAGATAAACCTGACGTGAAGCTGACTCGAAAATTTCACAAAGTTCTACTACAGCACTGCGCCTTTATACTGCGTGCATTCTGATCACAAGGTACCGCAACACATGAGCGGTTTCAACAGTGTTTTGATATTTGTTCCCACGATGTCCCTGGGTAAAATTGACATTGCAGGCATGCGGGTTTGGTACGAGGTTAAAAAAGGATCCTCATAAAGGAATGGTGTAGCCAATGTGAGGCATGAAAGACGTATATTTCAACGGGACGCGGTTCTGAATAGAAAGCGGTTGTGACTTTTCCCTTCGTGGGATGAATTGTAAACAGGAGCCTTTTGTTTATGAAAGGAAAGTTTGTAACACACACTGTACACAGGGATAATGCTTTACCTTAAAGGCGGATTTCTAATGGCATGTATGATATGTTTTTTCAATAGTGAGGTTGTAATGACGAGCTCCTTGGGTTTTTTATTAGGTGTGAGTTGAAGACACGAATATTTCATGTTCGTGCCAAAATATATTTATATTTATAGTAAAAAAGCTATGTGTAAGTTATGACATGTGTTGATATGTTGAAAGCAGTGCGGTGCTGTGATGTGAATTTTATGAGGGATAGATGGAACGAGAGAGAGAGAGAGAGAGAGAGATGCCCTTGCACAATGTTGAGTAACTTGTCAAACGGTATTTGAAGAAAATTTAAAAAAAATAATTGAATAGCGTCATGATATATCGAGATTTTGTTCGTCCTGGTGGTCTTTCACGAACCATATTGAACTCGAGTTAAAAACTGGGAGAAAGAGACGAGAGATCAGAAGTTCCTCTTGACACAAAAGTTTCTTGAGTCCTCTGCTTGCGGTCACCTCTACCGATACCATTGTCAGACGACAATATGGGGGATCTATCATACCGCCACCATTATGACCTTACCCTCTACCAGGACCACGGGTTAATTATGTGCACTTTTCTCCAGCAGAGAATACTGTCATGAATTGGTAGAGGATACGATGGCCTCAGATGACCAGTGTGAGGGTGGTTGGATCAATTTTAGTCTTTGTTAAAAAATGAGACTTGGACGGAACTGTCAATAAGGGCACTATTTCTACCTGTTTCAATCTTTTGTTGCTCCCTCTACCGGTGTGCTGTAAAAGCATCAGCATACACATTTTTATTTGCCAAAACGCGCAAGAGATTGAGTTTGTTTTAGTATAGTTAACAACGACACCAACAATATTTTTTTTAATGAACAGTGATGATAAAAGAGTACAATCGAAAGATTAAAAGAAACTGAAGCCAGTAGTTTCCTAAAATATCAATTGTCTTGTAATGGTTATCATAGTATGTGATTACTGTATTTTTCATCATCACACTTAATGTCTTCCTCAACGTAATGGAAAGTATTGTATTTACGCCTACTCATCTCTATACACTAAAATGAAGAAAACGGAGTTATGTGAATGGTACAGCATTATTTTTTTCTGAATCACACACACACAAAAAATGGTACCGAGTTGTGCTTGTTGTTTATTGTATACATGCATTCCCTGCATGAGTCAGGTATCACTTTTTAGATATACGATATGAGTGAATGTGTGTCAGTCCTGAAAGCGATTAGATTGAATGTCTTTTTTAATATATTGTTAAAGATACGATGCGTACAAGTAATCTTATTGATGACTGACATCTCTAATTACGTGTGGTTTTGCGATGGTTTTTCCAGAAAATGGAGGTATAAAAAATTGTTTACCTGACACATTTGATTTAATAAAAAGACGACCTTGCCGCGTGATTAATGCACCATCACGAAACCGACGGAGTCTTGAACCTTTAATTTGGTACCTTTTCTTATGAGTGTTGACGCCTTCCCTGTTTACGACGCCACAATGCACTGAGCCTCTCACCTTCATTTACCTGCGCAATACCTTTCACTGCGACCTGATAGATTTACCTGTCATTTCCCAAGCTCCTCTAATATGTTCTCTTTTTCATCGGTCAATTCTTTCGATCCATCATAGGATCTGTGACGGAATGCCAGTTTGTTTATCTCTGCCCTCTTGGGAATGTTGCGTGGGAGGAATTAGGGGAGGGGGAGCAAAATATTTTTTTGGAAAAGTCCTTACAGTGCGTTACTCATCACCTGTAGTAAATGTCCGTAAAAGATTCGCGTCCTACCAAGGCTTTACTTCATTGTCTATTACAATGTTTTGAAAAGGAGCGGTTTTACTGATTCACTATGAAGTTTCACTTAGTTTACTATATCCTTAACTATCAATAACCATGCAGCACCAGCAAAAATAGATAGGCGTATTGCTGATTGATCGTAAATTGATACTCCCAAGTATTGTTCCCCTTATGACAATAGATAATTTAAATGTTTTCTTTCTCTCGTTTCTAGGAATATATCACAGAGTTATCCCGAGATCTTCTCCGGTCAACCAATAACCGTGCCTATATACAAAACGTCACAATTCTCGTGCCGAGCACGTGGACGACGTACACGAACTTTGATAGAGATGCGACCAGTGAACTGTTCACCACGTCCAACATCATCGTTGACCACGAGAGCGAGCAATATGGGGACAATCCGTACGTTAAGCAGGTCTTACCGTGCGGTGACCACGGGGAGAATATGCATCTGACCACTGGCTATTTATTAACGCCAAGGACGGAGGTGGAGAACAAATTTGGACCAATAGGTATGTGATCTGGAAAAAAGCCAATATTTTCCAAAGATTAACAGCATGGTATTTAATGAGCGTTAGGCCTTTATTTTATATAAGTTGATTTTCCTGGAAATTTCACTAAGATAATCCATATAAAAAACCCTTCACAAAAATGCGATTCACAGAAAGGGAGGAGACACTGGTGAATTTAATTAATAATTAAAAAACGGTTCGATGGATTGCAACTTTCTGAACGATTCTGGAAAGGTTAAACTTTGGCGAGAAAAGGAAAATTACTGCTATTTCAAGAAAAAATGCAATTAATTTGTTACATTAAGGTCTACGACGCATTGTATATGCCTTTAATGAATGGCAGTACCATACTTGTATGTTACGGTCTCTTAAAACTCTATTTTTTCTATTTTTCAAGGAAAAACTCTAGTCCATCACTGGGGACACCTCCGCTGGGGTTTATTTGATGAATTCCCAGTGACCGCGGAAGGATATCCTAGATTTTACCATGACAACCAAGGCAATGTGGAAGCTGTCCGGTGCTCACTCAAGGTCAAAGGTCAAGCGGTTCAACCTTCATCGCAACAACCATGCCAAATAGACAGTGCCACTGGTCTTCCGGTCTCCGACTGTGTGTTCTCCACGCCAGACACTGGTCAAATGGCCACGGGGTCTGTTATGGACCGTTATTCTTTATCCAATGTAAGCATTTATTTTAACATAAAAAATGAATTACTGGATGTAAAGAATAACAGATAAATGGATATCTTTATAAATAAATAAATAAATAAATAAAAGAATAGATAAATGAATAAGTAAAACGGCAAATAGATAAAAATTAAACATGTAAGTAAATAAACTAATCTCAAAAGCGTTATATTTCCACTCAAATCCGACAGCCATATTCACGCCTCATAAAATACGGATCAAAGCCAATGGGGCAAGTGGCGTGGAGAAATGGTGGGGGAGGTATGAAGGGGGAATGGAAACACCTTCAATAATTTGATGTCGAGGTTTGATTTACTGGCGCATCAGTTTATCTCTTGGTTCGGAATTGTTTTTGTGGACGTCAGTAACTCCATTAAGCCGTGTGCGTGCCGTAACTGCACACTGATAAGTAAGGTTTGTTGCGTGTACAAGATAAGAAACACGGCTCGACACCCTTCGTATATAAGACAGCATGCATATAACCAAAATGATTCATATCACGGTCCATCTGAATGTTCTCCTTCCGCAGACCTCGTTTCGGTTCAGGATTCGTGTTTGTTGATGTATAGCTGTTTGTGTCTGTTTGTGGGGACCCGGGAAGATTCTGTGTACAGATTTGCAAATAGTGAAAGTGAAATATTGCTCAATATAAATGGCAAGCGATTGTCAAGCTGATCCATGTCGTTGCACACGATTGGTTTGCGCAAACATCAATCTTGAGTTTTCAAAGCAGCAGAAAACAGCAACAACGTACTAATAACTGTGCCTTCAAGAAAACAGTTTGTCAGCATTAAAAAAGTGTGTAATCGCGCTAAAAGACATATTTCTTGATTGCAACGATTTGTTTATATTTACAGTAGTCTGTCTTTTGGTGTAGATGAAGGACACAAAATTAGTTTTCAATCATGGCCAGAAATGCGCAGCATTCACGCGATACGCGAGGGCGCTACAGTAGGGCTTCACGTGACTCAACTAGCCAATCACAGCACAACAATAGCATCGCAAACAGACTCTGTGATAAGTGCTCAGCCCATTGTCAAGTAGTGTTAGTTCATGGTAACAAGTGTCTGACATGTGCAGAGAAGTTTATTGTAATATATATTGTTCTTATTGTTACATAATTAAATCTAAGTCTGTATCCAAGTAGTAACTATACTGTATTAAGTCAGGTACTGATGATGTGCAGAGGTCATATATTCCAGAATAAGCCATTACCACTAATTTTTAACATTAATTTTGTTTAATATGTTATTCATGAAAGAGTTCATGAAAGATTATTTTAATTTATTAAATAGTGATCTTATTCGTTTTATATTCAAAAAATTGAATAATGTGGGTAAAATTGGTCTTCCACTTCTTATTTGCATTTTTCCTTTACTACAAGATTATTTTGGAACAGTTGCAGCATTAAAATTTAAAATAAATAGCAATCTGAAAGAAGAATTTTGCATTATTATTAAATGATGATAGGAATTTTGGATTAAGAGATTAGTTAAATACTGAGTAGTGATATTGTCAGTCAATTTATGTAGAATCTGATAATATGATTGAAAATACTGATTGAATTCTTGGCCTCTCACTGGGCAGTTTCACATTTGTACCAAGTGCTTTTTTTGGACTCCATTGTACAGTGGTAAAAGTTCTTCAATTGCCATGAAAGTTTTAATCAGACTCTGTATGGTGCTGCTATCTGCTGGTGCTATCGGCAACGAATTAGTTTGCCTTTGTTTCTGAGTGAATCTACCGTCTAAAATCACTATTTCTGAAAATATGTGCGTTTTGCTGAGGGTAGGCTAGGCAATACACGGCAAACTTCTTAGTACGTGTGTACAACAGAATTTTTTAAAAACCCTAGAGATATTTGGTCAGGAGTTGCTTGAAGCATAGCACAGCGTTGCTGTCTATCGGCATCAGGCCGTTATGCCCCTATTTCACACAGACCACGAATCCCACGAATCGCCAGGAATTGACAAATTTCAGGATTCGTGAGGATTCGTGAGATTTTGCCCATTTTCTGGTCTAATTCGACACGCTCTACGATTCGGTTACGATACAGGTGCGATAGTGTTACGAATAGCCTATTCGTGGGATTTGGCTGGAATCGCACGAATGTTGTCCAGAAATTCGCTACGATTTTTTGGAATCGGGAGTTCGTGGCCAAAATTTTGAACAACTCAAAATTTTTGGCACGAATTCCCGATTGATCAAGAATTGCAAGAAGTGACTACGATTATATACGAATCTGTGAAGAACTTCACGAACTGATTACGATTCAACCACGAATCCTGAAATTTTCAATTCCTGGCGATTCGTGGGATTCGTGGTCTGTGTGAAATAGGGGCATCAAAGCTTTTGCCACTAATTCTTGTTGGTCAAGAAGTGCAAAATTTGACTACGAATATATACGAATCTGTTAAGAATTTCACGAACTGATTACGATTCAACCACGAATCCTGACATTTGTCAATTCATGGCCATTCTTGGGATTTGTGGTCTGTGTGAAATAGGGGCTTTAGTTTGTCAATGATCACGAATTACCCACGAATCGCGAACCGATTCATTTTCCTATGGTAATCTAGCAACTCATTTAAAGTGCACGCATGCGCAGTGGGCTAAGCGTGACGTCATGCAGTGCATTCCTGGGGATGTGTGGCGTATTAGAGAACCACACCATTATACCAGTTATTCATATATTATGACATAGCGACTCTGATATTCAGGGTGAATATGACAGCCTTGAAAGCAAAATGGTATTGCACCTTTTACAACATTTTACCTTTTTTCGACAGATATACACATTTTGTGATAACGACGCCTCGTCACCCAATAACCTTCATAATATCGAGGCACCAAGTAAGCAAAACCGATTGTGTTCAATGAAGAGTGCATGGGAGATCATGCGGGACCATCCAGACTTCAAAGACGGTAATAAGCTTTTTTAACCATTTCTCCGTCCTTATTTCGGCAATTTTCATCCACTTTATGTCGTAGTCTGGAGGTAACTGTTGGGTTTTTAATAAAGTAATGATTAACGTTAATTATAACAGTTCCATTGCAATTTTTACGATTGTGACATTCCTAGACAAAGAAATGATGCCATCACTGTGAAAAAGAGTGATATTTTCTTATGTTGACACTTATTCTTTTTTGCTTGCGTAATGTTTCAATATTGGTATTTTTTATATCTGCTATATCTCAAATTCAAAATTTATCGTATCTTCGAACATAATATTTACAATACCGCAGTATGGCCAAAGTACGATATCGATATGAAAATCGGAAAGATTGCTTTTATTCAAGAGTATCAAAAACACAATGTTCATTTATTTCTAGGTGTGAACCCTCCTCTCACGGATACAGAGGTGGCGGGACTGAATACGACACCCTCTTTCACGGTGGTCAAGGAAGGCAAAAGAAGATACGTCCTCGTACTGGACATGTCTCACAGCATGGCGGAGGTACGGCTTATTCAAGATGTCGATTTTAAAAAGATATTCCGGTTTTTTTTTCTTCGTCAGAGGGTTAAAAACTATTTTAAAGAAAATTACCAAGGAACGTAAAATGAGTAGTTTGTCACTAATTTGACCTTGGAGAACAGCCAGCCTGTGTTTCATGTTGCTTCGAAGAATTTTTACTGAAAATACCATCAAAATAAATTATTTGTCAACCCTTCTTTTTTGTTAGAATAACCGTCTGATCAACATGGTCAAAGCGTTGCGAGACTTCATCCTGTACACGGTCTCCGACGGCAGCTACGTTGGTATCGTCCGGTTCTATTATAAGGCGGACATTTTGTGTCCCATGACGGAAATTACGTCATACGAAGTACGCTTGCAGGTCGTGGACACGCTCCAACCGGATCTCTTCCCTTACACGTCACTAGGCACCGGATTACGCAATGGACTAAAAGCTCTTGAGAATGCCCAGGATATCACTGTGCCAGGTGCTACTCTGGTTCTATTTAGTGACGGAGACAATACTTTAGAACCCGACATAGAGATGGTGCAGCCAGAAATTGTTCAGAACCAGGTATCGGTTGATACTGTCTTGATCACGAAAGAGGCCACAGATCACATGATCCCCCTAGCGGAAGACACTGGAGGCACGCCCCTTTATGCCTCAGAAGCACTTCCGGTGATTGCACTGACGGAGTCTCTGACATATGTCGTCACTTCTCGAGAGGAGTCACCAGTTTTACAGGTAACGCAAATGCCACTGACAATGGAACATTTCTATAACTATTGTCAATTTTAAGGACATTCCATTTGTCAGTCAGACACTGTGATGAGTTTAATGCCAAATAATTATTTACTATTATTGAATAGAACTTTTACATGTACACGTAACGTCACCTTTTGTCCAGTCAGTGCAGCCCGTTTTCTCTAGGGCAAGGTTTTACAATATGTAAGGAACGGGAATTTTCGCCCTATTCCTTCACAAACGAAACATTTAAAACCGCTAATAGCGTTCATCAGAGCGTATGGTCCTGTCCTCACATTATAGGCTTAACAATAGAATTTTTTTAAAGCAAATTCTGGGCGAATTTATCAGTATTTGTATTCATTTTTGTTTTGCTTAACAAGGTCGCTAAATTTGTTTGATAATTCTTATTAATTCAAAACAGCTCAAGGAACATGAACCGTCGTCAGTGAAAAGTACCCTTAAGTGAAAACCACACTAAAAATATTATGAATGGATTATATCATATAAACATCAGCTTTTCACAGCTGCATTCCCGCCCCTTATACTCTTCCAGCTCCAAGGTTTGGCCATCTCCGTGGCTTCCTCGCAGCAGTTCAACGGCAGCGTGCACATTGACGAAGACATCGGGGTGAACACAAATTTTATTTTCAGCTGGAACCCCGTGGTGAACAACGAGGTCGTGAACGTGTCCGTGGTACTGACGAAACCAGATGGAGAGATCATCGAACCCAACAGTACAGCCTACAACCTCACGTACGGCTTCGTTACCATACCCATTGAAGGGCTGGCGATGGTATGTGGTTTAAGAAGTCGGAGAATTTTAAGAAGAGTGCGCATAATTGTTATAATATATAGAAATAATTAGTAACTTAACAGACAGTTTTAAATTTTTTATTCTCTTTTGGATAGATAATTAAAATCTGCAAATATATGCGAACTGGTCCAGAAAAAGGAATTATTAAACTTTGGCGTTAGTTGCAAAATGTCACCCTGAATGGGATCATAAAAAAGAAGCAAAATCTTCCAGGCGGGCAGATGGCAATACACTGTTGATTGCGATACCATAGATGAAATTGACATCAATGTCCGTGTGACGTCAACTGCACGTGATGGCGTCGACCCAATCAAACTGACGGGGGAAGTGAATGAGGGAAGGGTGAACTTTTCAGGTATGTTAGAATAATAAAATGACATACAATTTTCAAAGACAAAATATCGAAGATAATTGCATTGATTCAAACGTGCAAATTAAAACTCGCGTCTGTGACTCTGATATTGTACCTTATTAGATAGGCCTAACATGGTACTTACTTCATGCTACGTGTATATTACATATAGAGAAACATATTTTATTTCAGACCCAGATCCAACACCTATCATAATCCTGGCGGACCTGAGACGCAAGTTCTCACCGGTGGTGAACGCTAATGTCACAGCTACAGTAGACACTGACTATAACGCCACGTATTTACAGACGTTTACTCTTAAGCTACACGACGATGGTCTTGGTAAGTCGTATTTCAATCATTATATGTAATGATGGGGCGAGGGGAGGCACAGTGGGTCGCATAAACTGTATCTTCAAAAGAAGTTGTACACTCTTTCCCCTTTGTTTCTGTCGAAAAGAAAGAAATATATAAGAGGCAAAAACGACACAGAATTAGGCAATTTTCCATTCTTGTGCCCCACATACCAGTATTACAATAAAACTGTTCCAAGAGCGCAGTAATAGTGCTGTTGTACATGTACCTAAGATATTTCAGCCATGTTCATTTTTATCCTCAAATTGAAAAAAATGCGGTTTTATTTCACTTCAGGTGCTGACGTGACAGCCGGGGACGGTGTATACTCGGGTTATTTCCTGGATATACCTGACACTGGCCGTTACCGCGTCCGAGTGCTTGCCAACAACAACCCCAACACTGCCCAGCTGAAAGTTCACTCACCTCCCACGAGAAATGCCGTCATGGCAGAGGCCGCGGGAGGTAAGGACGTAGCTGTTAAAATCAGAACACTGGAAGAAGATGCACCAGTGTTATAAAGTTATGATGTTTCAGTATGCAATGTTATTTTCTAGCAAGGCAGTGATTTTAGGTCTCTTCATTCTATAAACGTTTATATTTTTTACTTGTATTTGTAGGTAGGTTTCCTAGATTTTCTTTAAATTTCGCGCAGGTTTCTCGTCCAAGTGCGGGGAAGTTCTATTTTGTTTTTATAGCAAAATATTCTACAAACACGTCTACCAGTTTAGATGCTAGGCAGGAGCGTTAATTAAGTCTTACTAGATTGTTGCGCGGATCTTTTCATTTTTAAGATATAGTCTAATATATATAGCAAGTTTACCTTTTTTAAAATTTCAGCCCCAGAAAATCTTCCAGTTACCTATCGACCGCTTGGTCAATTTGATCGCGCGGTGTATGCTGGGTTCGTCATAGTAACACTGCCATCTGGTGTCGAGATGTCTGACGTCTACCCGCCACTCAGAATTTCGGACCTCCGTGTTAGCAAGACTTCCTATGATAATGATAGCGTTGTGTTAATGTGGACAGCGTCTGGGGAGGCACTGGACAGGGGCACAGGTGAGTTGATTATTATTATTCAGGAGAGAGACAATTAACACCAATAAAAAACATGAAAGGAACAGTCACATAAATTAAAATAACTTGGTTCTATAGTAAGACCATGGAAATTACTTGCCCAGATTTAGAAAACATATTCTTAAAACCTAACTGCACTAATGATGCCTATTCTCGTAAATTTTTATTATATAAAACATTTTCACATAACTGATGCAAGATATACATATTTTGACAACTATACTTGATCTACTACAGATCATGATCTTCGTTTTGGTAACACGATTTTTAAAAACAACGTGAAGGTTTTGATAAAGTTATGAGCTTTCTTGTGTTTTGTTATAGTGATGACACAAGAAATTCGGAAACCTTTAACTGTTGAAATTGACATATTGCGCTATATTGTTCATTCTCCATTAGTAAATACTTGTTTTATACTATTTTTATAGCCTTGAAGTACGAGGTTCGATACGCAACCACCCACCAGCAGTTTCTAGACGACTGGGACAGCTGCACGGCGGTGACACCCGACATGGTGTCTCACGGAGACCTGCTCAATCCTCTACCATCTGGAAAAATAGAAACCATGGTCGTATCTTTCCCACCCTCGTACTCGACCAGAACTCTGGTGTTTGGTGTTAAGGCTCTAAATTCAGTGAAGAAAAGCGAAATGTCCAATCTTGCGTCCGCCATTATTCTTCCCAATTTGAATGCGACAAGTCCTGTTCCGACGGACAATCCGGTTGTCCAACCTGAGGATCCTGGTAACGATATTCTTATTATCATCGCTGCAGGTGCCGGCGGATTCCTCATTTTACTCATAATCATCATAGTTATCATTATTATTGCTCTTAGAAATCGAAGAAAACGAAGAGAAGAACTCGAAAGAGCCAAAAAGGATCTGGTAGACGGTAAGGAAATGGAATGTGGAGAGATGAATATGAATATATCAGTTCCTCCTGATATTTTGATGCGTACACCTAGCGTGGAATATCCAGATGGAATGGGCTACACTTTGGAATACGAATCTCATGAAATCCAAAAGACTTGGGGCATTTACAAAGGGGGAGGGGCTTTGGCACCTAATGGCACTCCCAAGCCACGCGAAAATAAACGAGATCTTACCACCATTGAGTGGGACCAGCCTAATTCAAAGGACGAAGGAAACTTTGTGTTTGCGGGACCAGGAATGGCCGAGCCAGGCAGACGACCATCGCAGCGTTCTAGGATATCCAATGGATCGGCGGTTGGGTCGCAGGCGCCGCGTGCGAGTGTCGAGGAAAATGACGTTGGTCGCAATAGATACGCAAAAAACTGGAAAAATGCCAGGAATTCCGCATACAGCAATAGATCATTTCAGCGTGATTAGTCCCCGCATACCACGTCTTCCACGCTGATTGTATTCGTCACATTTTGTCATATTTTCGTCATCATAACTATCATCCACCATTCCGACCAGTTCTCACTGGCTCTAAGGGCATATGGCAAAGTTTCCTTCACCCTGACGTGGTGAAATATATGTCATTTTAATTGCAATATGTCGTCATATACTTGATGCAAAGTGTTGCCTTTTTTATTTCGTATATAGTCGTCATTCATTTCACACTATTGACGGGTGATTTACTAGGGGCAATTATGATATTTAAAATGAAGATCCCTTCAAGGAAAACGTACGTAATTTCAGGCGTCAAAACGTGCACTGATATTATCAAGATTCCTCAGGTTGAAGACTCTTTGATAGAAATTAAGACAAAATAACAAAGTTGCAATTGACAAAAATTTACCAAAGAAGGGCTATTATGTCTTCTACAGTGTTTAGGTATTACTCAGTAAAGCATGTGTGCAGGCACAGGTGTATTTTGTCCAATTAACTCCATACGTAGATATACTCAACTTACATGTATATATGCGGTATATACATGTATATTAAAATGTGCAATCAACTTTATATGAACATGGGTGTTGCCCATTAATGCCGGTCCAAAGCACGTTTGAATCCTTCTATTTATGTATTGTCGCTAAACCTTTTTAATGACACACAATTTGATGTCGTTTTCGACATATTTTAAAACTGAATGAATTCGCCATTGGTTGTGGTTATTTCTGTGCTCTCTAGTAACAAAATGAACTGAGGAGAGGGAACATCTCAATGTGCATGGTTTAGAGCGATGTATACAGATTACACTTACTCAATATCAGGGTAATTAATCTGTGTGTCTGGCTTGTTTATCGAAAAGCAAAACTATTTCATGGCGTAAACGGTGTAAACAAAGTACATGTAGGTCTCATTCTTTAGAAAACTTTGTTTCCTGTCACTTAGCGATGTGACTGCTTGTGATTTACTTAAGTCAGTACTTGGGTGGTGCCCTATTGTATTGATAAGCTGATGGGACAATATATTTTACACCTTCTATGTGTTATCTAGATAATTCCATAGGCACATTTTATAGCACACTCGTTTTGATAAGATGATACACTTGATTGTTGTGTGAATGTTGAATCGTAATAATTAACATACATTATTATAATTCACTCTCTGGTAGAATACTCCCTTTGAATGTTACCTAAACGATAAATCCACGTAGTTTATTATGTTTATAGTGCTAAAACGTGGTGCAAGATAATAACACACCGTAGTGATGATTAAATCTATTATAGGTTTATCTATGAAGTTTATATATGTACATGTATAAGGAGTTCCCGATGATTCAATTTAATGTGATGAGATATGGGTGCTATATAATAAAAGAAGTAATTTCTATACCATATGGTGCGTGATTATTTCCTGATACATCGATCATAAACTGCTTAAATTATAGATTTCAGAGTTATGAAATAATTGACAAGCGTTATCATGTGCCTGTGCTCTTTGTTTGCACGTGGTACGGGTATTAATTTTTTGCAGGCGGAAATATCGAAACATAAAAAAAATTAAATAGTTCCTGGTTGTTGAAAGAAATGACGGTTTGCAAAATACGAACTACACCTACATATTGAAAAAATCTATTTATTATCCAAATCATCATTATAATACACGTTTACGTAATTGCTTATCCACTCCGGTTTCATTCTGAACCTTGACTAGTGCTTTATGGCAATTTGATGAAAACTATTACGCCCATTTCTCAAGCAAATGCCATTTTCTCGTATTTCGAGGTTTAACGACCCAGTAAGTTGCGAAATACACTTTAAATGTGAGATTTACATTTTATGACTGAGAAAAGTTCTCGAGATAAGCTTTAAACATACATAAAGTGAATAAAAAGTTATAGACTAATAAATAGGAATCCGTTGCTGAAATATATCACATGGATTTTCGCTTTGGTCATTTTTGTAGGTTTTAAATATACAGAATGCTTCTATAATACAGCTGGTAGGTTAACTAAAATTTTGTTGCAAGTCCAATATTTCTACAATGATCTTATTTGCTTTATGACCATTGTAATTGAGGCCAGTGGCCCATATGACATGCTGTTCTTGTAGGACATCTTTGGACACTTTTTTCGTACTCAAGAATCATTTATCTATCCTTCTCTCCACTTGGATTCGACCTTTGTTAAAATTAATAAAGATTGATTTTAGCTTAAAATGACTGGACAGTCATAAAACAGCGACCATTTTCCTAAAAGCTCCAATGGAAATATCATCATAGGCTCCGCTCCAGAAAAAATTCAAGAGGCTAAATCATTTAAAGGTACATGTAAGGTTTTATAAGAGGCTGTGGATGGCAAAAAAAAAAAGCATTTTGGGGATTTTCAAACCAAGAGAGTGTGCCTTTAACGTTATTCGACAGACGGGCGCGAATATAAGTGACTTTTCGTAACATAAGGAGTCATTGGTGCATTTATATGCATAATTATACAGTTGACTGATTCGTGCCTTTCTGACAAAGGTGTTTTGTATATATTTAATCTAAGTGTATGTTATGAAATATATAATGTTTCTTCGACAAAAATTAGACACCAGGATTTCGGCACCGTTAACCCAAACGCTCCACAAAGGACACAATTAATCCATGTGAAAAACTCCGTTGGTGCGTAGAGGAACGCTGAACTGTAGGCAACTCGTACAAAGATCAAGGTTGATTCTATACGTATATAATGAAAAGACTTTCAGCAAATTTCCAAAGTTAGTTCTTGTTTAAAATATATTCCCAATTTTCACTCTTGCCAAAATATATTACAAAGATATCTGCGTCTTATCGGTTTCAGCTGTAATCCCTCGATCGTCTGCGCTTTTCTCGTCTGCTGTTTCTTCGGTTATAAACATCTGTAATAAAACGTCAAAATGTTTGAAGAGGAAATGTAGAGCAGCGTACTGCGCGCATACAGACGAATTTGATTAAAATACGTTTGAGATTAATTCTTTAGAGTAAAGCCATGTCTTATACAAGGTCAAATTAAATGCATCAGGCGAATAATCAGAAAGCTATAGTAAAGGACACTGTCCACCCGGTAGTTTAGATTGGGAGGGGACAACAGATGGTCTCTAATTACATCACCCTTTCTTCCAGATCAAATACTTTATCTTTAATGTCCTCAAAAGAGATGAGAGACAAAGGCAACTTCCCTTAAAGTTGTGACGGAGATACAAAGTACTTACTTTTATTGCAGTATCGTCCATACCAGCCAAACTCACACATACAAATGTCCACGTCGACACACATGCCATGGGGACCACAGCCGCGCTGACACACAGCTGGGGAGAAAATTGATCAGGTTTGTGAATAGCAACAACACTTTAATCTTCAAACAATTATTTATAGTGTGTGAAGAGACTGGAGATGCTTTTTACCACCACTCATACACATGAAAAAGCACACACACACACACACACTCACACACACACACACTCACACACACACACACACACTTACACACACACACACACACACACACACACACTTATACACACACACACATACACTTACACACACACACATACACTTACACACACTTACACACACACACACACACATACACACACACACACACATACACACACACACACATACACACACACACACAGAGAGAGAGAGAGAGAGAGAGAGAAACACGCGCACGCACGCACAAACGAACTGACTCATGTGAAAAAATATCTAAGGCAATATATATATATATATATATATATAGAGAGAGAGAGAGAGAGAGAGAGAGAGAGAGAGAATGCTCTCGTGAAGCTTCTACGATGTACTTACGAAGTTCACAAAACCTCCCCGTGTATCCGCTAGGACAGGAGCAGACGTCTTTGCCAGCACAGGTCCCCCCATGACTGCACGGGTACAAACACCTGCCTATATACAAACGGGGAAAATAAGATAGCTATTAAGACATATACTGTTTAGATTTAGCTATCTACGATGATCAGTGAGTACAAGAAATTAGAGAATGTTTGTTATGTTTTTGGTATATTTGCGTTTTTATAATTTAGTTAATAAAATAGAGAATAAACGAAAGGACAACCTCGCAGTCGATCCTGTTTAAAGCTTGGACATTTTGTTAGATACAGTTAAAACTACCGATGTCAAGGTTGTTAACCAAGCAAAAAAAGTCAACTATCGCAATTATTAAAAGTTACAAATCACATTAGTTGAACTTACTATGCTGGCATCTTTCACCGTAAAACCCGCTCTGACATACACATTTACTGGGTCCAACACAGCTACCTCCGTTTAAACAAGGCTCGGTGCACATTTCTGAAATAAATTTAAGTACAAAAGTACGAAACGCAACTCCAAACTACTTAAACCTTAGAAATGTTTTCATCCCATCTACATGTATAGAGAAATGAAATAAACAGAAAACACCTCAAACACGATATTGGCCAACATTGATGTTTTATTACTGTCTTATTCTATATTTTCAAACCCGCTACTTTTTTGAGATGCTACTTACTTATTTCACATCTTTTTCCCTCATAACCTGACACACATTTACACACATTTGGCGAGACACACAGTCCTTTGTTTTGACAGCCAGGGTTACAGTCAACTGGAATAAAAGTTCACATTGCGTTAGTTGAGACACGGTACAACCGAATGGAATGAACGTGAAGAACACAATGCACCAGAGCAACTTTCTTACATTATAAAAGTAAGAGTGTAAAATGTGTATTAGCTGTTAATTGCCAAAAAAGCGCTAGTTAACGAACACCGAGTTTTCTGTCTCTAGCACAGGTCGTTGATTTTTACTGTATTCTTTTAACAAAGCTATTCAATTACAAACATGTACATAATATCGCACAAGGAATCAAAAGTCACGAGACGGAAAACTACTGTCATGCTGTGACGGCTAATCGAAGTCCTTAATCTCTGAGGAGGATGGAAATTACATTAGGAAAATAATTCAGTGGAATGAGAATATTCCTTTTTATTGAAGTACAGCTAAAGTGCTCGTCCGCGCTCGCGCACGTGTGTGACATGTAAAGTGTAAACATAGAACGCTGTGTAACTTGTCCTTTGATTTCTAAACTTAACTTACCTTCAGAGGCACTTTGATGGACAGTGAATGACCAGCAGATTTTTTAGTTATATTTTAAAATCATTTAAAATTATCAAAATAAATTTTGCCCATCAACCTTAGCCAAGACAAATATACATGTAGTCTAAGTTAAAAACGGTGTGAACGCATCCAGCAGTTGTACCTAGTTCACATTTCTTGCCGCTGTAACCCGTGGGGCACTGACACTGCCCCTGGCCGTCACATATCCCGCCGTTCTCACACCGTTCGTCACATTTCGGCTTCTCGTCGCCTGCAGTGTACAACAGAAAATACGGGTGAGACCCTGTGTTGTGAAAAGTCCAGGAATGCGTTAATTGGCCAGAGGGTCTGGGGAAAATACTGGACGCAAATGTTGGGTTCACTTGTGGTCAACTTGGACAATATATAGTGTATCACTGTGTATGAATTCACTAACCGTTGGCAAAAAGGATTTTATATAGACGCACCAATGAAGGAAGTTGCGCTCGGTGACTTCTACGCACAACTAACCGTTAAAAATGGATAAATAATTGAGATTGATACGGTTAGATAGATAATAATCATAAACAAACAAACGAATAAATAAATAAATAAATAAATAAATAAATAAATAAATAAATAAATAAATAAAGCAAAAAGTCAGTCTACTCGTTTTCGTGCAAAGATAGAAAGAAAATCCTTTGTTCTTACGTACGAAAAGAATTACACTGTTTCTGCAACCTGACTTCTATGGGTGATCCGGGGATAGGTCTGTTGTGGACGTCCATGACGTGGAGTACGATGCGAACTGTGGCAATCCCACGCCCACGCCCCGTGCATGGTATGGCAATCTGAAACACTGACAGGTGGAATTTCATAATTAAAAGAAAAAGTCCTGGGTCCACTGAAACGTGATTAAGGTGCGAGTTGCTTGAGAGAACTTGTTTGATGTTGATCTAAGCGTGGGCGTCTTTGGTACACTTTATAACTTTGCTTATTCGTTCCTCAGTTTTAAATCAGTTGGACGACAATTGATTTTCTTAAATAATAATATCAAGTCTATTTTCAAATCGTACTTTGCCTGTTGCGTTAACATCTCTCTTTCTCTCTTTTATTTTCTCTCTCTCTCTCTCTCTCTTTCTTTCTCTCTCTCTCTCTCTCTCTCACACACACACACAAGCGCGCGATCACATATGCACGCACTCACGTACACGTAGGCCTACCTGTCGTCTCTGCAGGCACGTACCCGACGGCAGGAATGCTGAGCAGCGGGTTATACATAATACTCTGTCTGGAGGAGCTCAGTACTTCAAACCAATATGTATACTGGAAGGCAATTGATAACGAATATTATTAGGCCCTATATCAAAATCAAAATTGCTGACCGTAGGGGTCTACCCTGTACATTCAGGTAGGTCCAGGCTAGGACTCATTTACAACAAGTTTACTAGGTCCTAGGTCTACGTTAGGTGTAATTTCAACTAAAGGTTTATTGTACGCATTTGAAAATGCCCCATTCATTTTTTCTATGTCTATATCCTGTCTAGGAGCCTTTCCCGACAAGACATTAAAAATATAGGGGGCCTGTAAGCCCTAAAACCTCAAATAAAGGTTCCTGGCATAGAAATAGGGCCTCTTCTTCCTTGTTTCTGGCGTAGATAGGCACTTTTGAAATGTAGGCCTACAAGTCCCGGTAGACATGGCGTTCAAAATGACTTTTTTCCGAGGAAAATTCATTTTTGTGAGTAAATCACACATAGAATAAGGGGCCTACCTCAAATATTCTAATGTAGGCCTATTAATTGTAAGTTCATTAATTTACAATGTAAAAGCTCTTTTGGACATAACACCGTGCAGTCAGTAGTTCATTTTTGTTTGTCAAGAAAACAAAAGAACCTTTTAAAAATAATAAAAAATAAATAAAATAAAATAAAATAAAATAAAATAAAATAATAATAATAATAATAATAATAAAACTCCGAAATTTAATTCACTTAACTTTTGCCACTTTTGTTCATTTACACACTTTCATAGCAAATAGCCTACTAATTTTTTCCAAACAAACACGATGTTTGTCAATGTTACAATGTTGGTAGTTAGGCAAATTTGGCAGTCAGACTGATTTCTGAGATCCTCTTTCGAAATCACCGCCAAAAGTAACAATCAGTAGCTACCACAATTAAGAGCCTACGTCTGAGAGACGCATGCGTAGGCACCTATGGGCCATGGTAAGTAGCAATTACAACTTGATAACTGAAATATATTCTTATTATTTTGGCTACTATGCTTCACCATAGAAGAATACTAACATCCGGGCACCTTCCTTTGATTTGTGACGTACGTCAGTTTATATTGTACATATTGCACCTTTCCTAACAGCGAGGCCTGATAGCTCAGTCGGTTAGAGCGTCGTGCTAATAACGCGAATGTCCTGGGTTCGAGCCCCAGTCGGGCCAAGTTCTTTTTTTTCTTTTCTTCATCTTCTTTCAAGGAAACTGTAGTAAATTGGCTGAAATAAAATTCTTTCGTATTCTTTAATAATTATTCGTTGCAAAAAAAAAAAAATAATAATAATAATAATAATAATAATTTGGTATTGCCTGATATAGCTTTCATAACACACATTAACATTTTTTTTTTTGCAGATTAAGAACATCTATTTTGGGCAGCGTAGATGGAAGTATTTGATGTACTCAAACTTACAATTCAGATGTGACATATCAATTTGTTCATCACCATTTCTCCTTGAAGTTTTTGTCTCCTTGAAGGTTATCGGTATGAAGTAATTGAAAAGACAGGCCAACCGTGCAATTTATAATGGATCGAGTCTCTCACATATGAATCTAAAGTTAAGTACTGCTGCACTACAAACTTAGAATGGTTAAATTTCTTTGGCATTATCAACCACTTATACAACTTATCAAAGAGTCTTATACTTGGACGTTTTGTGCGGTGACCTACATTTGTTGCTCGTTTACTAAATGGAGTACACGTATTATAGCTGTAAAATTAGTGCGCCCATGCACGAAGGGCCTGATAGCTCAGTCGGTTAGAGCGTCGTGCTAATAACGCGAATGTCCTGGGTTCGAGCCCCAGTCGGGCCAAGTTCTTTTTTTTCTTCGCTTTTCATACTTTTTGGGAAAATATTTAAGTTTCACTTTTATCCTTACATTTGATTTGGTTATTATTAAATCAAAATGTGTACAGCAGATACAATTACCGTCATAATTGTCATGATTACGCTCAGCCAGCTTAACCATAAACTGTTCTTATCAAGCATGTTACGTCAAAGTAACTGCAGTTAATTACATCTTCTTTCTCTAATCGATAAAGGTAAACAAGGACCTGTACCCTCAAGGTGAGGTCCATATGGATAAATTAACAAGCTAAGTCTGTAGTGGGGAGGTATGTAGACACTATATAACATAAACTGTACACGAAGCCTGCCTAACATTAGAGAAATGACTTCTTTTGGTTTCTCGGCATAGTCCGGTCCATGACTATGCTAGGGAAGGGTGTACATTGTTTTGTTGTTTTTTTTCACTAGATATTCACGAATGTCTATGGCTAATTCATGACACTACTCTGTACTGTGACACGCCAGTGACATGTCCGTGAATATATGGTAAAAAATTATTCTGTGACCCTGGTAGAGGGTAGGGTGTGTGTGTGTTTGTGTGCTGCGGGAGGGGGGCATAAGGATTAAATATCGCTCTCTCGACAAATACGAAATGGCTGAAGACTACATACTACCAGTGTAATAAAAGTTTTCATGGGTTTCATTTTTCAGTATTCAGCCTCTGCACGGGGTACAATTAAATAAATTAAGATTTGCATTTTGCGTCAAAAAGGTGCTTCTGATCAGTGAAATAAATGACCAATCAGATGTTTCTTTAACTTGGTCTGTAGATCAGGGCATCACCATCAAGTGACGGAGTGGGGCACAGTAAGCTATTACTTAAGTGTGCGTGCGCCTGTGTGTTGTGTGTTTGTATGTGTGTGCGCGTGTGTATGTTTGTGTAGGTGCGTGCGCATGTGTTTGAGCGCATGGGTATGCATGTTTGAGTGTGTGTGTGTGTGTGTGTGTGTGTGTGTGTGTGTGTGTGTTCGTAAGAGAGAGACAAAGAAAATGGGATTAAAAATCAAACGACAGGCTAAAGAAAATGTGGAATGACGATTTCTTTTTCTGAATAACCAGCCCACTTTCACTATTCCACCAAAACAACAATTTCAGTCACTTTGAATTCGAATGCCAAGAAATAAAACGAGCCACTAAATCATCAAACCATCGGGAAAAACGCTCCATTCACAAATGACCGCCCTGGAAGATTCTTTCAAGTTTTATAACTTAATTCCAAGAAAAAATACAGCAAATAAGTGCAAATTGAAAACATACTTTATGGAAAGCTCAAAGAAAGTAGCTTCTGATAACATTCGGAAACGGGTCCTCTTACACTATTAGGTAAACTACTAAAAGAGTAAAAAACACTGTTTGAATAAAGTGGATAAACTTTGTTCGACAAATGACTACTTAAGACGCACGAAAGGCATCCTTGGTCGTTTTTCGTAATAAGAAGTTTCAAAGCCTTTCGGACATTTCGATTTGAAAAAATAAATTGTACCGCGTAATGTCTCTTGAAAGCAACAAAAAAAATTTTCAAAAAGAAAGAAAGGGGTTTGACATCGATTTACTATTTTTTAGGACGAATACAAGTTACCTTTTTGGAGTGCACAATAAACAGAGGTCTTTTGGAAAAGAAACTTTTAACTTTGACTTTTTTAATTTCTTAAGGCCTAATCATATATGGTGCTTACCATCCCATGTGGAGTAACGTGTAGTGCGTCATATGACCGTTGTGCGAAGGCTTTTCTCTTTAATCTAATGTTCTACTAATTAAGGAAGTATATAAATGCTACTTCATGTTTAACTGCATTATTAATATTTTGGCGATTTGTACCTTACACGTTTTGAAAATCATACATTCACCTGAGGAGTTTTATTTGTTCATTTGTGTGAAGAACGAAAAGGATTAAGGCACGACAGCGAAAGAAAAGGACACGACAAAAACGTCTTCTACTAATATTTCAAATTTCAACTTTATCATAATCAGTTATGTCTTGTATTCATTAAACTTACTCCAGTAAATTTTAAACTAAAATTCTGATTCGATTTTTCTGACGGCTCTCTGATCACGTGACACTGGCGTCCACAGTTTCGCGTCTTTCCAGATCTTTTCTCCTTTCAAAAAGAATTAGTAAGGAAAGAGATGAATGAAAAGACACACGGTCCGGAGGGGGGAGACTTACAGCCTGTCAGACAGAAGATTTCAGTTAAAAGAAACTGATCAGATCAGTAGATAAATAAATAAATATATAAATAAAATATGTGATCTTATCTTTGAAATCTCACCTTGCCGTTTTTAGCCTCCCAGGTCAGATTGACCATATCGATTTCCGGCGGAATTACGGGGAAATGATCGGCAAACTCCGGCATTTTGAGAAACGGAACCACTGTGCCTGCTTCTATGATAAATATTTGCAAGGGAATTCCTAGAAGAGAAAAGGAAAATGACGCTTATGAGTTTTTGGGATAGCATCAAGCCTTTCTTGATATAATCTAATATCATTTTTCACATTAGGAGAATATTTTATCAGTAGTGTTATTCAGCTTACTATAAGGAAGAAATGTTGACCTTCACAGCATTAGTTTACTGGCAATTATTTTTCTTGTTCTTAAAATATAAATACACTAAAAATAAAATCAAATTGCTTGAATTAACATTTAATATGACAAAAATCAACGACATACATTATAACAAAGTGTTAATGAACAAGGACCTGGGGGGGGGGGGGATGTATTACAGCGGGCCCAGACTAGAAGGTGGAAGGGGGCGGATAAATTCCTTCTCGGTCCTCATTCCGCCCTCTTACCCGCTGAAGAATCTTGTAATACGTGATGATATTTGGGTCACCTTGTAGTTCTTAGTACATGATACATGCTCCTGTGTCTTTTCTCTCCATATTTATATTTTGTTTTATTTTGGAAAAAATGGTGGGCGTGGGGAGATTAGTACCCGCCGCCTCCCCCCCCCCCCCCCCCCCCCCCCCCCCCCCCCCCCCCCCCCCCCCCCCCCCCCCCCCACACACACACACACACACACACTTCGTGCAGGACAGAAGCAGTTTCGTGTAACTAATAAATCTACTTTCTTTTAGTGTTTACCCATAAAATGTGAATTGTTATTCGTGTACTCTCTGGTGCCAGCCAAGTGCCTCGCAAACAAAATTGCTTTAAAATGGCTCTTACATTCCTTTTTATTTACCCTGATTTACACAGGTGATCGGGGATTCTGTTAAATGTTCTTTTTTTTCTTTCTTTCTTTCAACAATTAAAGTTACTCATGGGAGACTTACAATTCAGGGTGACGTATATTATGTGACCTCTTTGCCCATTCAGTTGGTAGAAACCGTGCAAACTATTAGGGATGAAGAGTATTATACAACGTTAGAGTTTGTAAGATGAAGACAAAGACGTCACCTCATTCGGCGGGACGCCGTCTTAGTTACGCATTTTCAGTTCATTTTTCTCTGATAGGCGAGATAGAAATTTGCCGCCTTAAAGACGAAAGAAACAAACATTTTACCTGTTTTTTTTAACACGTGAAAAAAATGGGGAAATTAAACAACGGAGAATACAGAGAAAATTTGAGGAACCCCCTTGCTCCTTTCACAACTCCTGTCTCCAAGAAAATAGGCCCTTTTTTTTGTGCGCACGCGTGTGGCGTATTTGTGCATTTGTGATCAGTACATACATGTAAAAGATAGCACACGTAGCAGACACAAGTCCCATGTAACAAGTTGACCAGATAGTTCGCTCGACTCTGAAGTCAGTGGTCGTGCATTCCTGCCAGACAAGCAAACCTAGCAGGAGAACCAGTACGACTGCTCAGTTTGATATCTCAAATGTTTTCACTGATTGCAACACAAAAGTACACAGTTATATTTTCCTTTGCGCTCTTCAGGACGGAGAACTCGGTATCATGTCTAAACATTCTACCGCATATTGGGCTCCTATCGTCCTATCAAAATAAACACCAAAGTGCGCGCATACTAATAGACAGAATGTGAAGGACAGGCAAAAGTTCATGGATTTTTTTTTTTTTTTTTTTTTTTTGAGAGAGAGAGAGAGAGAGAGAGAGATCTTGTTGAATATGCAATTGTTTTCATTGTCAAAAAGAGGTTTTGGAAAAATATTTTGACATAAGCAAATCGCCCGTGACACGCAGAAGAAAAATTTGGACAAGTATAATTTCTATAAAAAGTCGAAAAGCACAACAGACAACATAAGAATTAGAGCAAAATGCAAACGAGTTTGTATTTTTGAAATAATAATAATAAAGGAGATTATGATGATGAAAAGAGCAGTTCTTTCTCCTGTTCCTGTACATAATTTTTCCATAAAAATCTTACATGTAATTATCAAATAAGGCTGCCTTTTTTTTTTTTTTTTTTTTTTTTTTTGCTGTTTGTTATCCTATATTAATTGTCTCGTGTGGGAAGAATTCTTCCTGCTACACTGTAAGACTACGTGAGGCACCGCATATCCACATAACCCCCTGAGCAGACTAAATGGTGCCTATGTACGAAAATAACACCACTGGACATAGGGGTTAATGAACAGTTAACAACTTACCACTAGGATAACAACACATTATCACTATATTACACGCTAAGTGGCGGCTGTTGCAAACTGGATTTAAATTTAATCGTTTCCTAATGATTTCAATTGATTTAATGATTGGTGTTGGGATACCCTCGTGCACGTGTATAAACATTAACCTTTTACGACGTCAATGTCACATGTACTTCAAAAGTCCGCTCGGAAAGATACAGCGCTTTTGTCATTTAATTTATTTATTTATTTATTTATTTATTTATTTACTATTATTATTATTATTTTTTTTTTACAAATATTTAAAGATCTTTTATTTCAGGCCAAAGGAATATTGGATTCGTTCCAATTTTATCTTTAACTTGAATGGAATTGTTTACGGCCTCAAAGCGCGCACTACCATGGTATCTGTGAATTTTTTACTAACCGAATACAATGACAGTTGTAATTTTAGTGGGCACCACTAGATAAGTTGTTTATGCTGAATGAAACGACAGATAGCAAATACACCACGTTCCGCGAAGTCACTAAACTGCCTCGTAAAAACCAACAGTGAAGGAAAGCAGAAGGAATCTGTCAAATAACTAGATTGATATCCAAGAAACCACAAACGATTTTCAATTCTTATCATATTTCCCAGTGTCGCTGCCGCAAGCCCAGAAGGTGAAATGAGCCACGGGGCATGTGTCGGTTGATAAACAAAGTCAAAGACGTGGTGATGAATGAGGCTGAAGTCGTGTTTACAGACATATTAAGTCGACCTATCTCGGTGCGATCGATCCCAGCATGCAGCCTGATTGCGATAAACTCACGGAATAGGGCGACATTGATTTCCCTCTATTATAATTACGGTTAGCGGGACTACATATGGATTAGATAGTCAAATTGTAAGCTAACAGTTATTAAACTACTTAATGTCCTGAGCTAGGTCGACAAAAACAAGACTTAATGTCACCTCACAAGGACGTTCTGGAAAATTCTAATATTTCAATTTTTTTGGTTCCCACTTGGTCAGATAATAAAGATAGTTCGAACCCTGTTCTGCACTGTTCCATTTATATCGTTCTTATAACTCCTTTTCAATCATTGCTTGATTCTTCTCATTTTAAGTGCACGAACACCTTTTAAACTTCTCAAAAAGTTCATTTATAAGTTTTATGCGTCTTTTTTTTTCTATAGCGAAAACCAGGGTTGTATAAAGGTTTTATCATAATCGTTATACTTTGGCGCCATTGGTAAGAGTGCATCGACTTCAGGGTATATTTCTTTATCACTACTTTAACTATTCCAGGCATAGGGCAAGCAATATGGATTGAAACCATTGAGTCTGAACGCTTTCGGCGAATTGTTCATTTCTTCAGATAAAATTCACGACTGCTTTAACATCATGGTGTGTAAAAAATTGAACTTGGTTGACCATAAAAATTAAATTTGTGATATACAAGAGAAGTTTGTCAGATTCACAAAATATCAAATCACATTGAAGAAAAAAATTTAAATAGACGATTTTGTGCACTGCGTTCGTTTTCTGAGACGAAACTTCTTCGTTTCGCCCATGTTGCTTATAAATTCAACTCTCGACTTTTCTTTTCCTATAAATTGAAAAAAAAAATCGCATCCGTATGAGAAAATTCTCCTTGAATACTTCCCGTTGTAGTGTGGGTTATTATACCTCCTGGCTGATCTACTCAGGCAGCTGCTGTGGAAATAGTTCCTTGGGAGAAAACGTGTGTCGCGAATATTTACACGGTATTACGCCCAGGAAAATGTGAAGCTTTTGGCAGCCGGTTGCCGGCCGGTCCTTTACTCGGCCACCCAGACACACCGATAACTTTACCCTGTTAATTTATGGCCTGTCCAACGAGGTCTTTATTTTACTTGAATAAGTTCAGATATTGAAACCGCGCGTAGATTAGGCCAGTTTTTACGTGGCGCTTATACAGGTCTGTAGAACGTTGTCTGAAGTCGTTGAAGATCCAGAGAAGTAAATTACTTAAGGACTACAGACCCAAGAAATTTGAGGTGTTGAAAAGACGCAAATATTTTCCTAAAAACAGCAAAATGCTATACTACAGTTTAGTTTAATGATTTCAAATAAACACCTTCAATCATAGTCTTGGAGAAGAAAATAACTATTCCAAACGAGTTGAAAAAAATTATGAACATGTCGAAAATCGCTGTGGCTTTCCCTTTGGGTGTTTTCCAAGCAAACTCCTAATGTCTCAGCCCAACTCGCTGCTAAAATACCATCACAAGCATATCGGTTTTGATTAATACCCCAGAGACTATTCTCAACTTAGATGTATAGCAAACAGGTGAATTTCTTATTAAAAACGCGAACTTTGCTACCTAAATCATTATTTCTGCAACAATTGCTGGTTAAACGATAGCCCATTTCCAGATTCCAATTTGTAACAGTAACTCGCTGCAATCTTTAATGACTTTGGGGTTGTTTAGTTCATCCTTTCCCTCTCTCTCTCTCTCTCTCTCTCTCTCTCTCTCTCTCTCATTTGTGTTGTTTATTGTATATCATCTGTCACATATCTTAACGTTTTGGTAATAAGGTAGAATTCCATTTCACGACCTCCTATCTTGCACACACACACACACACACACACACACACACACACACACTTGTACTTTATCATATTCCTTCATGCCCTTGTCTCTACGAAATGATGCAAAGATCCTCCTCTTCCCAACCCTCCCTCTTTTAATTTTTTTCTCCTGTTATCTGCAGCTCGGATAGGCCTGTATTGGCCTTATAAATGGGCACTGCGGCCACAGAACGGATTAAATCAAATGTCGCGCTTTGATCTGGAGAACTAGTTCAGACACCGGCTGTGAGGGTGACGACAACTGATGAAAACTGACTCAATTATTCCAGAACGCCACCGACAGATTCTGTTCGCAGAATTCCATCTCAGGCACCCTGAATTTCAGCGTATAGACAGTGACTTTTCTCCACACGGTATAAGCTTTTTTCTGTTAAACGTTTATTGGCGCAAAAAGATAAACAAACAAGAGTAAACTACAACTAATAGAGAAAACATTTTTTATCGTCACTGTTTTGGAAAATGCATCGTGGGTAGAGAGAAAAACCATTGCCATTAAACCTCCTGAGCTCAGGGAGCTTCAATAACGACTTGATGAATTTCTTATTATACGTGCAAAGTCCGTGGTGCGTTGATTGAGGCCGTGCTACTGCCTGCCACCGCGCGCTCTCAAAGTCGAAGACGGGAATAATTGCTGTTGGTTTGGGTGTTATGTTAACGAGTGCAATTTGGGTTCGAAGAACGCAATAAAAAGATTCAGCTATATTCCAATTGACTGTTTTTTTTTATGTTATCGTCAACAGCGGCAACTTTTTCTAGGCTAAAGAGACTGTCGAGTGAAAGTGCATGGGGTTAGAATCAACCAGTTGTTACCGGTTCTTCTGGAATTGAGTATTGACATAACCCTTTACTGAATTTGAGGACAACTGAAATCTTTAAATTAGCGTATAGAACGGATGTTTCGATTTAAATTGTTACAACATTAGTTAATATGTCACTAGGCCCTTGGCTGGGGTTTGGAAGAGTAGTAGTGTCCTGTCATCTCCTTTATTCTCTACCAGGGTACCCTCTACCACGACCAAAGACTGATTTTTTTTCACTAGATATTCACAGGTATTTCTCTGGCTATTTCATGACACTATTCTCTGCACTATTCTATGCGGCCCTGGTAGAGGGCACTACATGTGCCAGAAACCCTTATAGACCTACATGTAGCTGCCCTAATAGTTTTATAAAAGGTAGAAAGGTCCCAGGTAGGGAATATAACACCCCTGGGGCCAGTATCATCTGAACAAAATCTGGAGAAATTCCACACTAGGGAAGAGTATCAACCGAGCTATGGCCATGGTATAAACACCACATGTAAAGCGTGGTTCTTGTTGCATCATTTTGATATTTGAACCAATCACAGTAAAAACTTATCTTTCGTCGATACGTGTAATACTCTTAATGAATAACCAATGTTCATTTCCTTGAATTTAGAGATAGAACAACAAAAGTTGGACAATTTAAAAGAGCCCCCATTATTTATTTCTCGGTTTTCCCTAGAGCCGCAAGGCTCGGAAGCTATAAATTAGTAAGAAATTATAATCCCTGCGTGAGGTCGGAATAAGTCATACTACGAGGCAGTGTCCTGTGCACTGTGTGCGTCAAGTTATTCATTGAAGTTTTGCAGTTTTTGAAAGTTTCATTTTTTTAAATATGTCACATTTCATGGCCGCATAACATGTATGTAAAAAGATGTACGTGTACCTTTGCTCTCTCTCTCTCTCTCTCTCTCTCTCTCTCTCTCTCTCAGACACGCGCACGCGAGCACTAACGTAAAAGATATATAGTGCAAGCAAGCGTACACACAAACGAACAAAACACGCACAAATGCGTGAAGTGCATGTAAACACGAATACGCACGCTCACACCAGTGAACGGACACGAACACATTCACAAACACAAACATTATTTCTTAATTAATCAGTAAAAAAAGCATATTTTCTTTTAAACTCATCGGTGCTTAAGAAGACACACATCATGCTATATGTAACTTATATTTTACAGCATGGTAAAAGGCATTCTAATTCCAGGAATTAACTTATTAAATTAAAATTTGATCAATGTCTGATTTATCAAATTTACATTTGACTTACTTCTTTGACAAACTTATCTACTTTCGCCTGTTGATCTGCATTTCAAAAGAAAGAGACAGAGCAGCAAGGATTTTCCATTGTTTGCCGAAGTTGCTTTTATTTTACTTTTAAGTAGTTTCGTAGTTTATCATGTTGTTTTTATTTTACGTTTTTAAGTATACAGTTTCGTAGTATATAATATTGTTTATGATGTTCTAGATGTAAATGAAACAGTGGACATGAAGTGTGTTAGTAACCAGTATGCTCGAAAATCTGTAACAATAGGGATATAACTGGCATTGCTTAAAAGATGTGAAAAGAAACATATTTTCATAACAGAGTACTTGTATTTACGGAAAAGAAGTGTTTTAACAAATGCCTCGATGTTTATTTTGACAGTGAGCGGCTGTTTTGTGAAACCTTTTAGATGTTTACAAGGAATCGCCGGCAAAGAAAGCATTTGGGACATTTTGATACCGAAATAACCTAACAGTAATAAAAAAATAGGAGAATATGCATTTTATTGTTAAAAAATTAAATCTTAATGTGGCTTAAAATAGCATATTGGAATGACACGCAAGTTAAACTCTAAAAAGGACGACTAAATCAACAACTCGACCACATTAAAACAAACCGTATTTTGAAGAGAATAAAAAGCCTCCTCTTGTGGTTAACTTACACCATCTTACTACACTGATTCATCAATACCGCTACCCCCAACCCCTTTTGCAGTACTCCAGAGCCGGCCCCTCTAAATCCATTCTCAGTTCAACAATAATAAAATATTCAAGAGCATGCTAAACAGATGTGTCCACCCCTTGATCAAACCACATCGACAGCGCTTCTTGCTGTTGGCTAATTCTAATGGCGATATCTCTCTCTCTCTCTCTCTCTCCGTTACACGTACACGTATATTCTCTTACCTACGTACTGTTCCACCTGCTCCTCATCGATATACAGGTTCAGCTGGCGACTGTGCTGCCCACTCGTTTGGTCACTGAGGTGCTGACCACTTCTCTGCCTGTCAAACCTTCGGACACGGGCTTCCGTGCCACCATACACCATAGACAAGCACAGTAAAAACACAAGCCCTATCATACTGGCTCCTGTGATACCAGCAGCCGTCGTGCAGAGAAAGCAAACACTCAAGGAGCACTTGGTTTTGAATGCAAACTTTTAACCGGTGCTTTTAAAAATCACTTAGAGCGGACATGAGAAGTCTTGAGACGTCATATACACAGTGGCTAGCATCAACGAGCCCTCTCAGGTTTAGTTTGATAACAAATGGGAAGGAAAAAAACACCAAAGGAGAGAGAGAACACGCTTCTGTTTGGTTGCCTCTTTTTCCTCGCTGTTCAGGAACAAGGGTTGCCCATGTCAATCTGCCTCGGTATTTATAAACGTGTCCTCCGCTCTCTTGAGTGGTTGCGTCTTAAAGTGCTCACAGGCTGTCACTTTTGGCAGGTATACCGATGTACTCTCACTCAAGTTCCTAATACACGTCGTCAAGAACGCAAAGCAGGGGAAGCAGGTCTTAAGTATCTCTTCTCGGTGCGGCGTGGTAAATATCTGCGCTCGCACACGTCGCTGTTCACTCACATTAAGGCAAACGCCGCTCACACTCCCTTTATGGTTCAATTTGGCTGTAACCTCCCTGTTGCAAGGCCTACTGTATCCCGTGTTAGAGCTATGACCCTTCCTTAAAATATGGCTAATAAGAAACACACTCTCGGAGCTGTAAAGCGGCGAAGATTGGCTGCGTGCTTACACGCTAGCTCCCAGTACAAAGGGTTGGCGCCCTGGAACCAGCGATATTGAGACACGGGCCCCTCCCGCTGTGACCGGATTAATACTGGAATGCATCCGTCATTTAAACCTAGTTTAAACCAATTAGGGAAACCTTCCACTACTCGCCACCATTCAGAAAATTATCGATGATTTTGACGGAATGTTATAATAATTATCGTGTATTTTTGATGTTGAGCTCTGGCGCGGCATGTTGGATGCGCTGTGTATGTATGCAGGACGAGGAGACCATTAGATATTTGTTTATTTTTTTGCCCTTGTATCATATAACGGATGTCAAACTTTGCGGTTAACGTTTCACTCGTCGGTTAAGTTGGGAAGTAATATAAATTAAAAGGGTGCTCCTGTTTGAGTCCATGAGCTGATATGTTACAGCGATCGGAGTATCTGCTTCCAAGATAGATAGAAATATAATTCCGATTGTTGTTTTAACAATGTGATACAGACTCCTGAGAGAGAGAGAGAGAGAGAGAGAGAGAGAGAGAGAGAGAGAGAGAGAGAGAGCACCAAGCATGGCAAAAAATGACTACAGTTCCCCCCTCTGATTCATTGTTTTTCACAACCGGCCAGAATTAGCGTAATCAGACCACACAAAGGCCCATCTAAAGGAAACAATATGGGCCTTTGAGGAAAACAACATTTCGCTTTGTTCTAAATACCAAAAGTAATTTAATAGCCTGCACGAGAATGTGCGTCTGAAAACGTCCTTAATACACTTGTTGGTCTGCTCAGACAAAACCATCATTAACCTGAAAATCGCCCTAGCTTATGTTACATGTATCAGACGACAAGATTATATTATAGCGACAAAGTATTTTATAATTTAGGTTATTGATGACGCAAGTTATACCCACTTTCGGTCCAAAATCGCCCTCGTCTGAACGTGTCCTTAGTTCACAATTTTTCTTTCACGCAGTGCAAACAAAGGCGGCGTTTCAAAGAGAAGTAGATAAAAACGCAGGATTGGATAACGGTAGATTAAAAGAAATCTGGTTGATGAAAGAATTACGTCCATATGGGCCTGCCGCCTTTCAGCTGGAACCCCACGCAACACGCTTGCTGTAATCTTATTAGAGGTGTTGTGATAAAATTCTGGCCTCCTAATCGGCGAATGAAACCGATTTCAGACCGGAATTTCATAGATGAATACATCAATGAAATTGCATCGATATTAAATTGAATCAAAAAAATTCTGGCAAAGTTCTGCGCTATAACTAGTCCATATCGTATTGAGAGGGTGCATGTTCTGATTTCATCCGGTAGTGTGAGATGACAGAGGTGAAAAAGATGGGGTCTCTGACATTCATTTCCAGGTTGAAAAGCGGTGATACAGGTTGAACAGCGGTGGATTGCTGTACTCCTTCCTGAGTCTACCATTAGATTTACCTTCTCTCATGTCGTCATCATAGCCGTCAACATAACGCTCTGAAATGTGTCTTAGATGTGTTAGTTGAGCTGCTTTGGTTCTTCGGCCCTCTACAAGGACAACATTGCTGTCGATTTCTGGTCCCCTCTTGAAATTAGAATTTTGAATAGCTGAATCATAGTTCTAAACCGTACCAAACCCACGCCAAGTGTTGGGGAGGGGGAGGAGGGTCGGCATCCACGGACCCCCCTTCAAATAACCCTAGATCTGCCCCTGCAAAACACTGTATCCAAACCATTTTAGACCACGTGCGTGTCTCTTAATGACTTTGAACGTTTTCAATCTAAGGATTATATCGAGTATAACTCATGTTAAGAGAGGTGTGTTTCGAGGATTTTTTTGGCATCCCTCTCCCACTCAACCCCCCCCCCACCTCCCCCGCCGTGTACTAATACCACGATAAACCACATACAGATTAGATTTAGTTCAATAACTTTCATGATAACTCCACGAATGAAAACTCTCAGTCTGATTATTATGTTTTTATTATTTCATCCTCGATAAACTGAAGAGAAAATAGATTAGGTCGCAATGAGCATTATGACTTTCATATTGGTTGGAATCACATCACGGGTTGCAATCAAGCGAGGATTCCCATCCCTAAGACTGGATTCCCATCCCTAGATCGATATAACAGAATCGGTCCTTCTCCACGGGGTTTCTCGCGAAATTGCTTTCAGCTTAAGTGGCTTAGATGTCTCGGACGCCTACTAAAGCTGCTACACGATAGTTAATTACCCCCCTATCAGCTTCAGTAGGCGTGACAAACATCTAAGCCGCTTAAGTTAATTGCAATAAAGCGAGAATCCCCTTGGAGATAGTTTGATCCAAAGTTAGTACGATAGGGTCTGGGAATTATCTCTAAATCGCATTTAGTTAAAACTCAGCTTGCGGTTTCTTGGTATTGAACTCATAAATAAAATAAGTACTTTATATCTGTGTTTAGGGAATCTGTATTGCTTTGGAGATTCTGAGGGTATTCTTAATAATGCATAGGAATTGTCATATCAACTCTGTCAGGGAGAGACACGTCACAGGTGTATTTTCCTATGTGCTACGTACAACAGGAGAGAAACCCCACAGAAAGAGCGTAAGTCAATGAAATCACTTAATCCAAGCAGTATTGTAAGTAGTAATATCATTAACTGGTAGGAAGGCAGCTTTTTTAACAGTGAAGTACTGAAGGTCAGACCCAATCAAAATGCAAAATATGACTATTGGCTTTATATAGTTCTGGATATGTTAGACTACGCCGATGTAGGCAATATTTATATTTACTTGGCAAGAGATTTCTAAGGCAAATTTTAGTCAAGTCGCTGATCCTAAAATTTGAGCTAGTTCAAACTAAAAGTCAAAATGGGTTTTCAGTACGGTTAGGACGGCCTAACTCAATACGTATGCCACTAGTGCATCAAGTGATCTACGTCAAAAAAGATGATATTGATTCTTTAATTTTGATCCTATTAAGAAACCTTTAAAAGTTTTTCAAGCTTTAAAGCATTTAAAATAAAAATAGTAGATTGTTTATTTGGTCACTATGATTCGTCCTAACATCAAGTCTATTGAAATTTAATCTGTTGTTCAGAACACAGAACACTTTCTTTTTGTCTTTGGATCAACTTTTTGTTTCAGACTGAGAAAGAGAGCCTCGGACGGCACTTGCATCAGAACAATGGGCCTGCTCACCAGAGACCTCCGGTGTGGTAGGCCAAGGAGACTTAGGCTCATTTTTAACGCTGTTATAATGAGTGCGTGCCTGGTGCCCTTGTACCTGTGGGTGAACAAGCTGTTTGGGTTACCCTCCCCTCCGCTACTGCAACACATCGCCACAGAAGACAGCGTACAGCAGGAGATACCATATTCAGTAATGGCAGAGACACTAACGTGGCCAACACCAACCTCGCGGCAACTCTCAAAGGCCCTAGTACCTGGGTCCCCCACCAAACCGGCAACTTTGTCAAGGACACCAGGTTCCAAAAGAAAAATGATCTTATATTGGACCCCAGCTAAAAAGTGTGACTATCTGAATCTAAACGAGAGGCCGGGGCCGACGTTTGAGGACCTCCAGTGTCCGGAAAACAACTGCTTCTGGACAGCCGACAGAACGAAAGTGAAAGAAGCTGACGCTGTCCTCTTTTTTCAACATTGCATCAGGAGAGTCACGATCCCGCAGAAAAACCCGCATGGCCGGTGGATACTGGTCAACCATGAAAGTCCCTGTGAGAGCTTTAACAAGTGGTCTGACTGGGATGGGCTTTTTAACTGGACAATGAGGTACACGAAGAATAGCGACATCTACAGTCCGTACGCCAGGGTGGTTTTCAGTAAGGGGGAGGGCCCTGGTTTGTCAAAAGAACAGGCGTTATCGATCACTAAGAAGAAAACGAAACTGGTAGCTTGGATGGTCAGTCACTGCCCCACTAGCAGCAGACGAGAAGAATACGTAGAAGAGTTACAGAAATACATCCCAGTCGACGTGTACGGGAGGTGTGGGCCTCTTGTATGTGCGCGAGGTGACGCGCGTTGTCATGAGTTGCTAAACAACGACTACAAATTTTACTTAGCATTTGAGAATAGTTTTGCAGAGAGCTACGTGACAGAGAAATTTTTCTATATGATTCCCTTACATATTATTCCCGTTACACGGTCTCTGGCAAATTACAGCGAGCTTGGAGTTCCGCCCATATTACACATAGACACACGGGATTTCAAATCTCCAAAAGATCTGGCAGAGTATCTCAAACGTCTTGATAAAGATGATGAGAGCTACGCCGCCTTACTGAGAGCAAAAGCGGATTACAAGGTTTTTGACTGGAAGCATAGTTACTGCGATATATGCAGGAAGCTTAACGATCCCAGCGAACCAACAAAGTGGTACAGTGCTTCAGAAATAATAAAACAACACGGTTCATGCTTTCCACCAACTGACCTCTGACCCCTGACCTCTGACCCCTGACCTGTGAACGAACCTATATGTATATAACAGTATGATATTAAATCATCAAGAGGTATTTTTTGGGGTGGGGCTGGAACTCAGCAAGTCATGGCCAATAATGACTTGAACATTGACACTGACGCATGGTAAATCATTTTATTTTTTTGCACTAATAACTCTTGAACGATACCTGTATGCTATGTTGACAGGAATGAGCTCACAGACGTTTATTTAATTTAAAACAAGAGAATAAATTAGTGATATGGATACCAGAGTACATTTCGGTAATTAGAAAAATACAGAATTACCAAAAATTGACAATGCATGGAAACTTATATCAACCCTCGCCTTTGATCTGTTTTTGATTCTCTCTCTCTCTCTCTCTTTCTCTCTCTCTCTCTCTCTCTCTCTTGACAACCTGCGAAAACGCCTCAGAAGTGCAAAAGTGGAAAAGGTGGATTTAACCATGTTCATAGCATAGAGATGCTACACATTCTAATATCACCCTTCATTATGGGTCTAAGGTGAATGTTTCTACAGATCTTCAATATGAAAATGTAAATTTTAAGCGAGAAAGATGTGTTAATAAAGCAATATTTAAACGATTCAACAAATGAAACTGCAAGTATAGCGTTGCTTGGATATTTGTGAGTTGAAATGCTACCATCGTGGTTAAGAAAAAAAGATAATCTCAACTGTAATTTTTATGTTTTTATTTTACAATTTAATACATAAAATAGCATGGACTTGGCTTTTGGCTTCTGCAAATCGAATGTCTATGGTTTGTCGTTCGGGTTTGGTAGGTTGGCCTCTGTCAGGAAACTCGACTAGGTCCTGGGTTTGCGTCCTGTAAGGTGGCGCCATCTAGGTCTGTGTCGAGCTCAGCCTGTCGATCATGATGCGGGATGAATATTGGTGTCATACCTGCAAAGAATGTGGAAACTGTATAACCATACATTTTTCACCAGCCATATTTGTAGGAATAATTCCATACGGAGAAACTGAACAGTTTAATGACTATTGTTTTCTCCCTTTATAAAGCGTAGGCAAAAGTGCAGTAATCATAAAGCGTCGCGTCGCGGAACTCGGACGCAAAATAAAAGTGACTAAGATAAACTAGCCTCATCAAACCTGCGGTTTCAGACCAACACCCTTTACAGATATCTTACAATAAATAAAAGAAATAAAATCTTAAAGGCGTTCACGTTTGTAACAAAATACTGCCGTCTGTTTTTGCTGGCATTCATTTTTGTCAGTCTTCTAAAATAATTCTTTGTAGAAGATATCTACGTAAGGTACTTTGCGTTATCGACAATCAATGCGATTATATTTTAAAAAGCTCAATCAATACAAACTTACTATATAATTAATGCTGATGTTCTTCCATGCGAGTTTAATACTTTTTTCCGTAATAGCCGTGGCCATAACCGCCATAGCCTCTTCCATATCCGTAACCGCCATAACCTCTGCCATAACCGTAACCATGGCCGTAACCGGCGTAGTTGCCGTAGGCGTGGACCTTGCCATAGCCGTAGCCGGCGTCAGCATAGCCGTAGCCGCGTCTGTAGCCATAGCTGCCGTAGCCGGCGGCAAGAGCACAGGCAATGATCATAGCGAAGATCACGAGTCTCATCATCTTGGCGGTTGGTTGAGGTTGGTCTGTCTGGGAGGTAGACTGATGCAGAAGGCCAATTTTTGCCGCCTTTTATACTTTCAGATTGTGCGAGAAGAAAGAGATCATCGCTCTTTTGCCTGACAAGGAGTAGTGTAGATTGAGTATAGATAATGTGTGCGCTTCCTAATAGGTTTTGAGTGAATTTTAATTTGAATACTAATAATTAGTGTTCACCACGCACCGACCGACCACTTAGTGCAAGTATTAGTAGAGGAGATATTTCACAAGATTTCGTTTCCTAACATATTGCTTTTTCAGTTCAAATAACCAATATATATATATATATATATATATATATATATATATATATATATATATATATATCATGGACAAGGTCGAAACTATGTTACAGCAATTAAATGTTCATTTGTGCTAAAGAAACCCATGCCCACGGGAGGTTTGATGACAGACATGTATTAATCACACGGCAAACGCTGCACAAGACACAGGCTCTGATTATTCCGCGAGGACTCAGTCCTGTTTTTGGATTCATCTCCTCTAAAACCGTTTATCGCTTTTTTTTGCCTTGAAACTTCCATTTAGCCTTCAAGATGGACTGTGCTGTGATTGAGGGTTCTTTGAAGGGGTCACATTAGCGCCGCTGATATTAAGATGTCTCTCAAGTAATGAAGCGTGAATGCAAGCTAAGACGCATGCAATCGTGTTCTTGGCTGAGTAGTAAAATGTGTACTGAAAGAGAACTGCAAAGTGAACAGAATGTCTAAAAATTCCCAGAGTTATTTGTGAAAACTAAACAAATGTCGTTGGTACTATTCACTTCAATCTTTATTTATCTTAATTCTGTGTTTATTTCTTTACTTTTTTCTTTACATAATCATTCATTGATACCACATCACATGTTCGAAGAAAATTCTGTTATCACATATCACCTTACGTCGTCCCCCCTGGATACAACAAATCTTTAAAAAAAAACAGAAAATTGTGCGTGCAAACTTTTTTTTTTAATGTTTTAAAATTATGAAAAATTGAAAGTTAAACATTGATTTGTTGATTAATGGTCTCCGTGTTGCGATATCATAATTCACCAGCTGTCAACTTGGTACACTGCGTCTATTATTCTTGTATCTATTCTTTCATTTCTTTGCCAATACGCCAAAATAAATCATTCGTCACACAAAGCGACAATTAAATATGCGCACACTCTTCATCTTATAGCCTCGGTTCTAATTGTCAAAAAACGCAAAAATAATCTGTTCATTCATTTCTTGCTTGACCAGCAGACGATAGCTACAGGGCTAACTAGATAAAGATGACTACATATAGCTGGAACGAAACTCAGGGCAGCAAAGTGAAACTGGTCTTGACTAGAGACAGAAAGAACTAACGAAATATGTTAATTGTATCAGCAAGGGTGTGATAAATTGTCATTTCAGATACTTTTGGTCATAATGTTCATGACAGTGAACTTGACTTCAATATATGTCGCTGATGATTTGACGCACAATATGCTTGTAAACATATACCTCGTTTTTCCCTCGCAAACGAAGCTACAGTAAGCTTAAGCCTAGGTCCCAACCGTACGGGCTGCTACGTGTGGTCCACGGTCAAAAAAAATGGGGAAAACGTGGGAGTTCGTGCTTGAGGAGCACATCCATCGTGCAACTTCTGGAGGACGCAAACAGCACGTAGAAACTTTTTAACCAATTACTTGATTTCTTCCCTTCGATCTAGCTACGTCCTAGCCGGACGCAAGGAACCTAAAAACCGTGCGTCCAAAACGTAGTTGGTACCTAGGCTTTCCTAAGGCCCTTTTTACGTCGAGCGGTACAGTCGATTTTTCCCGCTCAGTTTGAGAAAACGACAAGTTCATGCAATTGTATTATATTCTGATATCACAACCTCTAAAACAGAATACAAAATTGCGAAATTGGCGCATACAATATTTTTGTAAGTGACAACTAGCGAACTCTGTGGTCAGAGAGCACCAAAAAGTGTGAATGGACCTAAAAAGCTACGTGTAAGGCATTCTAAGCGCATCGATATCACAACATGTAACACACGAGTACAGCTGATCAACATATCGAAGTTATTAAATTTTACATACTGGTATGTAGTTTCAGCTGCTTGCCTATACACAACTTATTGTACACTGATGGCAAAAAGAAAAAGAAAAAAAGGAAAAAAAGCGGAATACAATGTGGTGAAGTTGGGTGGGCTCACAGAGTGAAAAGTTACTCTTTATACTAGTGTAGACAACTCTGATCAATACGACATAGAAAGGTGTAACATTAACATTGGTGTTATGGTCGAGACGTGTGTGTGTTTTGGTGTGTGTGTGTTTGTGTGTGTGCGTGCGTGTGTGTGCCAACGTTGTGCTTTTCGCTTTGCTACCCTTAAAATATTCCGACCTTAAGTGTGAAAAATCTTAAAAGACTATTCTTTTTAATATGTATTGTTTTTTCTGTTCTCTTCATCATTTTGTTTCTTTACTAAATGCACTATATTTCGAATTTGAGTTTATCAAAGTTAAATCTATCAATATTGTATCTCATTTTCGATTAACAAAACATTGATCAAAGCCTTCCTAACCTGAACATGTATTTCTTTTCCACCAACAACACCCATTTTCTCTCTCATTTAATGTAGCAATCTGGCAAAAAACATGGATTTAATCGAACAAGTTATCAACAAAAGTACCATTATTGAAAACAAACCCAGATACTATCTCAAAACAGATTCCAGAATAAATGATAATAATAATATGTATTTATGCAAACGAAATAAAGTGCCCAGTTTAACCGAAACAATAGGGGTCCTAAGCATCATTTGAAAAGGCGATACTGATCGAAAGCAATTGTCTAAATCAATTAAGTTGTAGATAAGCATTGTGAACAAAGGGAGACTCGCCTGTCGAACGACGATAACGTTGACAACGAAAGGCCCCAATAAAGGATAAGATAATAAAAACAAGAGGCTTTGTTAAACATTGCGGACTAGTACAGACAGAGGCACTATCAATGACATGACATTCAATGAACCGTGACACATTTCAGATATTTCAGTGGAAATTTTTTGTCCAAAATTAGATCGTGTTTTTGACATATTGTTTACGATAATTGCCACTAATAACCATGTTGTTGTTTGTTGTCATTGTTATTGCTGTTAGGCAGGAAAGTTGAGAACAGTGTTTATTTATAACTCTTAAGTGATGTTAAAAGTTGTCATCGGACAGTATCCCCTTTTTATTTCATTAATTTTTTTTTTTTTGTTTTTGTTTTATAATTATCTTATTACCACCGCAAGGGTGAAAGACGTAAAAAAGTTCATACATAGAATCGTCCACATAATACACATTAAAATAATATAATAAAACCGTTCTAAGATATATAATAAGATCCTTCTTAGATATGGTCAGTAAAAATATTGGACAAAGGAAATATATGAAATAAATAGAACTTTAAAAGCCTTAGTTAAAAGTTATATTCGAAGTTATATTATACATAATATTATATTCGAAGGCACACTTATTCTATCCTGAATGGTTAAAGATGCGTTTCATGGGTTTGAAAATCCCTAAAATGCTTATTTTTTGCCATCCACAGCTTATTATAAAACCTTACATATATACCTTTAAAATGATTTAATCCCTTAAATAGTTTTTGTGAAGCGTACCTAATATTGATATTTCCGTTGGAGCTTATAGGAAAATGGTCGCTGTTATAATGACTGGCCGGTCTTTTTGAGCTAAAATCAACCTTTATAAATTTCATCGAAGGTCAAACCCAAGTTCAGGGAGGGGTAGACATAATAAATGATTCGTGTGTACGAGAAAATTGTTTTTCTTTCTGGGAAAATCCATATGGGCGGGTAAATGTCATGGACAGTAAGTCTAATGCTATCCATTGAGCCTGACGAAGGAGTATGACATGTTGCAGTGAAATGAAGTTTTTTTAGTTACACTAGAAGTGTATCTTTATATCTTAACTGATTTATAAAATTGCTACCAGACAGTCTCCCTTTCATAAACAATGTTATCGCTTACAAGGTCACATACACCTTAACCTTATAGTAGATAAGTACAGTAATTAGACTAAATTACCATTGGAAGACAAAAGAAGTTTCCAAACATGCAACAATGAAGTGGCACAAAAAAGTATTTTATTTTATTTTATTTTATGTGCAATAAACCTTAGGAATTACCTAATATACCAAGGCCAAACTATATTAGGACTTACTTAATATACTAGAACAAATTGCGTTATAACAGGTTATATATCCAACGGTAAACAAAAAGTAAAAAAGGATCAACCGAGACGTTCAAATTTGCTAATAATCTCCATAAGATTGTAATTGAAAGCCTACTTACGTTATCAAAACAACCTAACTGGCGGATAAAGAATGTTAGAATGGACCTGCCTAGGTTGAACTCGATGCGAACGTGCCGTACGGTACAGTGCGTGCAGTGAATGATTCATGGAAAGTGGACAGCTCAATCTGTCCCCTTCAATGATTAATGATAATACCCATATAATAAAAGAAATCATAAACAATTCATCGCCTGGTTCGAGCTAATTATGCTTTGGACAAATAGCAAGGCCAAGTGTTTTAAATCCTGTGACTTCAACAATAACTTATTTTTATTGCTTTATTAATGACAGCACGTTTCCTAGAAAAAAACTTAAGCCAACGAGAACAAAAGCTGCAACTGTGCATTTCACAAACAGTGTCACATGGAAATAAAACAATCTACATAAATATTTGAACTAATTTGAGTCCTTTATTTAAACAAAGGCACCGAGATATATGGTTTTGGAGAATATAGCCACGTGCACGTACACGTACACAACGCAACGTGACATAGGCATGGCCTCTTTATATGCGTTGACGTTTTCAACAGTTTTTGAAAATATTTAAATATTTTAAGAAAAGTTGCGTATGTGTTCATACAAAAAAGCGTCAGTCCACTGTAACCTCTGTTCAATCAAAAATGATTTGCATCCTCTGTCCTTTTCCTTTCCCTTTCTTCTCGTTACTCTCCATTCTTAACGTTCAATTCAATTGGACGAAATTGAACATGTAGGCTCGCTTTACATTGAAAACCCCACCTTACTTACAGCTTTAGAGCATTGTGCATGTAAATCAGTAAAAAGCATAGTTCACAATAACCACATTGAAAGCAACTCACAGGAATATAATAAATTCCATTTTACCACGAAAACAGTGGTTAAAGCTATTATTCTGGAATATGGGCTTGCTATCGGACACCGTACCTTCACTCTGCAATTATCTCTTGAGAGATTGTTACCAAAAAACTTTTTAGAATAAAAAACTAACTTTGAATGTCGGAATGGATTCATTGACCATTGGTAAGTATGGGGAAATTGTCCTTTANATTTTATGTGCAATAAACCTTAGGAATTACCTAATATACCAAGGCCAAACTATATTAGGATTTACTTAATATACTAGAACAAATTGCGTTATAACAGGTTATATATCCAACGGTAAACAAAAAGTAAAAAAGGATCAACCGAGACGTTCAAATTTGCTAATAATCTCCATAAGATTGTAATTGAAAGCCTACTTACGTTATCAAAACAACCTAACTGGCGGATAAAGAATGTTAGAATGGACCTGCCTAGGTTGAACTCGATGCGAACGTGCCGTACGGTACAGTGCGTGCAGTGAATGATTCATAGAAAGTGGACAGCTCAATCTGTCCCCTTCAATGATTAATGATAATACCCATATAATAAAAGAAATCATAAACAATTCATCGCCTGGTTCGAGCTAATTATGCTTTGGACAAATAGCAAGGCCAAGTGTTTTAAATCCTGTGACTTCAACAATAACTTATTTTTATTGCTTTATTAATGACAGCACGTTTCCTAGAAAAAAACTTAAGCCAACGAGAACAAAAGCTGCAACTGTGCATTTCACAAACAGTGTCACATGGAAATAAAACAATCTACATAAATATTTGAACTAATTTGAGTCCTTTATTTAAACAAAGGCACCGAGATATATGGTTTTGGAGAATATAGCCACGTGCACGTACACGTACACAACGCAACGTGACATAGGCATGGCCTCTTTATATGCGTTGACGTTTTCAACAGTTTTTGAAAATATTTAAATATTTTAAGAAAAGTTGCGTATGTGTTCATACAAAAAAGCGTCAGTCCACTGTAACCTCTGTTCAATCAAAAATGATTTGCATCCTCTGTCCTTTTCCTTTCCCTTTCTTCTCGTTACTCTCCATTCTTAACGTTCAATTCAATTGGACGAAATTGAACATGTAGGCTCGCTTTACATTGAAAACCCCACCTTACTTACAGCTTTAGAGCATTGTGCATGTAAATCAGTAAAAAGCATAGTTCACAATAACCACACTGAAAGCAACTCACAGGAATATAATAAATTCCATTTTACCACGAAAACAGTGGTTAAAGCTATTATTCTGGAATATGGGCTTGCTATCGGACACCGTACCTTCACTCTGCAATTATCTCTTGAGAGATTGTTACCAAAAAAAATTTTAGAATAAAAAACTAACTTTGAATGTCGGAATGGATTCATTGACCATTGGTAAGTATGGGGAAATTGTCCTTTACCCTCAGAAAATCCGTCTTTTGACCAAAGTGAACAGTTCTTATCTCTTTAATTTTCAGATTACCAAGACAGCATCAATAATAGTGTCTTAAATTAGTAGAAGATACGGCAATGGTGCCATGGTGTTGGACGACGTGTGAATTTGATTTAAAAGCTCCTGGGTTCAATTATTACAAAGGATGTCCATCTCCTGCAAACATATAAACTTTTAAGTATTAATGACAGTTCATCCACTGCTTCCACCATCAAACCACTACTGCCGGCATTGGTATTATTTTTATATTTACTCGGAATATCTGTTCTTTTGTATCGATAACAAAACTTTATATTGAGGTAAATAAGCTGTACTACATGTATACCCAAAACAATCGCATGCTACGCCCCATTAAACAAATGTGAATTAATGTCTTTTGATCTGGAAGCATTTTAATCGTTTGTTGCGCAATGAAAGGGCTTAAGAGCTGGATACACGGAGTGGTGTTATAACGGGATCAAGAAAACAATTATAAACCGGACAATCTAATCATTAATTATCACGCAAGGTGGTACTAATGCAAACTCTCCCGCACAGCCTAAAAGTATTAAAAGACGGCAAAATTCGGCCTTCTGCATCAGTCTACCTCCCAGACAGACCAACCTCAACCAACCGCCAAGATGATGAGACTCGTGATCTTCGCTATGATCCTTGCCTGTGCCCTTGCCGCCGGCTACGGCAGCTACGGCTACAGACGCGGCTACGGTGCCGGATACGGCTATGCTGACGCAGGATACGGCTACGGCAAGGTCCACGCCTACGGCAACTATGCTGGATACGGCTATGGCGGTTATGGATATGGAAGAGGCTATGGTGGTTATGGCTATGGAAATGGCTATTACGGAAAATGGTAAGTTTGTAAAGGTTCCGCTTTTTAACAGCTGGTTTCAGTACGGTTAACAAAAATGCCAAATGTAGAGGATATAGAGGTTATTATGGCAGCTGTCACAAGTGCTAAACTATTCTGCGAGGAAGCTTTTCGTCTGTCAAACTTAAAATAACCACCTCTATGAATGCGTTTTCGAATCAACTGTGCCAAATTGAATTTGATGCAGTGTAAGGCAAAACACTGTAAACAAAACTCGCAGAAATGTTGGAAAGTGAAAAGCTATAAGGAACAGCAGTATTATTATATCCCCATTGCAATAAGAAAAACGCCTCGGCGACTTGTGCACCATGTTGACCTTGCAGAGTTGATATTAAACGTGCCCGCTAAGGTGAAAATTTGGCAACACGCAACAAAGATATTAAACGCGATGAGCTCTTTATCTTATTAAATGCGGTTTTGAAGTTTAACAAGTAACCACTCACGATACGCACTAGTACATTGTATCATGCAACGTGTATAAAGAGTAAAATCGAGGCACTCTGTACTCAAATTTTTGTTGGTTGTTAAAACTTAGGTTTACTGACGCTGAAATTTATTTCCATGATTTGGTGTGATTTCACATGTAATAAGTTATTTTGAAATAAACGAAATGTCGAACTTCCTTTCAGGTAAAATGTTTCCACTGGTCGTTACTATACACTAGAGAAGAACCGGACTAGATCTGACAGAATTTCAACACCGTTGCACAGTTCCCACTTCTGCTCAACTACAGGGTCATGTTAGACAATTGGCAATAGGATTAGCATTCCACATCTATTTCTGCTTCCAAGGGCTTACTAAAAAAACAATAAACTTTTTATAGAAAATCGGTTAGTCAGTGTCAATTTATCCTCTCTCTCTATTCTTTTTTCTCTATCATGAAATTAAATAAAAAATAAATAAATAAAAATAAAGAAATAAAAAAAACAGTAAGGCTGTCTATCCCGGTACAACACATTGTTTATAACGGAGCAATTTAAACGGTATAGTTAAAAAACTATTTGAAAGGCAATTGCAAAATCCAGACAAATATTCGGAGATAATCCACTCTTCGGATCTGAAAGATTTAAGGTCGGAGGTCATTTGGTGGTACGCAAGAGCCATGTTGTCGTTTAATTTCTTCAGCACGATAACTCTTATTCGGTTCGTTCGGATCATTCAACTTCTTACATAGGTCACAGTAACTCTGTTTCCAGTCAACGACCTTGTAGTCCGCTTTTGCTCTCAGTAAGGCAGCGTAGCTCTCATCATCTTGATCAAGACGTTTGAGATACTCTGCCAGATCTTTTGGAGATTTGAAATCCCGGGTGTCTATGTGCAATACGGATGGAATTCCAAGTCGACTAAAATTTGCTCCAGACCGAGTAATCGGGATTACATTCAGTGGAATCATATCAAAGAATTTCTCTGTCACGTAATCCTTTGAAAGACCATTTTCGAATGCTAAGTAAAACTTGTAGTCGGTGTTGAGCATCTCAGAGCACCGCGAGTCACCTCGCTTACACACAAGGGGACCACACTTCCCGTATACATCCACTGGGATGTATTTCTGTAGCTCTTTGACGTATTCTTCTCGTCTACTCTGAGTGGAGCAGTGACTGACCATCCAAGCTACAAGTTTCGATTTCTTTCTGGCAATTGACAATATCTGTTCCCTAGGTAACCGCGAGGTGTACCCATCGTTACTCATAACTTGTGCATACGGACTGTAGATGTCGCTGTCTTTCGTGTACGTCATCGTCCAGTTAAAGAGACCATTCCACTCTGACAAAAGTTTAAAGTTATCGGCGCGACAAGGGCTTTCGTGGGTAACAAGCACCCAACGACCCTGGGGGTTTTTCTCCGGGGGTGTCACCCCCCTCAGACAAAGGTCAAAAAAGAGGACCGCGTCGGCTTCTTTCACCTTTGTTTTATCGTCCGTCCAGACGCAATTGTTCACCAGACAGTTCAGATCTTTGAACATCGGTCCTGATCTAGTTAAGGTGAAATAATCACATAAATTATGACTTCTCCAATATAAGATTATTTTTTGCCGCAAAACCTCAGTATTGTTTGTGAAAGATTCCGTCGGTGTGCCTGTAACGTTCAGAAAGCCTTTTATCATGTGGGATTGAATACGTTTTGATAAAATAATTACCGTATCCAGTGAATTATACACTACAAGTGAAGCTATAACTGCTGTTAAGATAACGGCGTAGAGAAGCGACAATTTTACCCAACGTCTTGGTCCTCGTGTGCCGTCCTGTCGGTTGGGCTGGAGAGACATCTTCATCGGAAAGTTCTCACTCTTGCTATAACCACTCACATATTTTACTGTAATGAAAGTCCAAGGGCGTCTTCATCCAGCAAAACCAGACTTTTTTACAGTTGAAAGGGATATTATCCGCAGTCCGATCTACTGCGTATTCTTTTCATCTTTTACATATGTAATTATGCTCAACGTCTGACCCTTGGGACAGGAAAAGTAAACCATCCGTGTCTGTCTCGAATGGCGTGGTAGAAGATTGTGTTTGATAATGTATATGGCACGTGACGTGCCTCCCGTATAAGGACAGCTATGATACCACTGATATTTGTACAATACATATTGAATGCAATACTCAGACATTGAGACATCTATAAACTAGTAAAGCACTCCGAGAGCGCAGACCTCCGCCAAGGCAGCGATTTTTGATTATTATTGATTATTGATTGATTAGTGATCCAGAATACCACCAAAAACTAATCACTTCTAAGTTAACCCGTTTCCCACCTACCCTGAAAATTTCATCAAAATCGGTCCATAGCTTTTTGAGTTATGTTGATGACAAACAAACAGACAGACAGGGGTGAAAACATAACCTCCTTGGCGGAGGTAAAAACGTCATTATTATTATTATTATTATTATCATTACGCAACAACACTGACCTTGTGATCAGACTGGTAAGTCCGTCTCCTGAAGGACGTGAGTTGGACCCCGCCCAGAGCCTTACATGTAATATCTGTCCCTTAATTCAATGATACCTGCTGTCCCCCGACTTGGCATTCAGCACTTAGGGGTTAAAGTGGGACTAAAGCTCCTGAACTGGCAGAGAAAGATACTAACTGTTCATATGCTACCGGTAGCTTTCAGCGCATACCCTATTTTATTGTCTCTATGGAGGTATATGGGGACTTTACGGCATTCGGTTTGAAGGCTTTAACCACTTGTTATAGTTTATTTTTGCATTGTATTGGATTAATGTGGTAGTCCAAGGTTGCTCTAGGTGGTTTTCAAGTTTATGCACCCGGTTTTAATATCATTTAGCGATTTTACGACAATCGTTTACTATCCAATCAAGGTGACAGCCGAGTGTGCTTTCAGCACCAGTAGTGTGGCAGCTGGGCTCTATCCTCTTCACCCAGGCTAGAACGTCTACACTCAGACGGTTGTATGCCAACAAAGAATATATCGATGTTACAAGTTTGCGTGTATGAGAGATACACCACCCATGCACCACAATGCTCTCCACACAGATTAGGTTTAGGTGTTTTCAGACTCGAGCCTTAGATATGTGAGCACTAACGCAAAAAATAAAAGACTCAATCCACGATTTATTGGCACAAACGTAAAACTAGCGGCCACGAGCACCGCGCAACAAACCACGAACCGCTATTCTGCGAACCTAACCGTTCGGTACGTTCCGTATGTGCCGGAGGTTGTTGACAGTGCAAAACTCCCGTATTAATATGTGGTGTGGATAATACATTATAGAAATTAGTTTGACATTTGTAGTTTTTTTTTCTTTTATTTCCATTTATTTTTCTTATGATAAAGATGATTCATGCATGATTTAGACAATCACACGCCCAGTATGAGGCTCCAGATCGCAAACGGCAATTATCGTTTAACAGTCCTGCGACATCGGCAGTGGAACATGTATGACTCCCCTTTCAATTCTGTACCTAAGGGCGTATTCCCATAGATTTTTGATCGATCTATCCCCGTGGGGAGTCTCACTAGATTACTATCAGATAATCCGGCTTAAATGTCCGTCCCGCCTACTACAAGCTGTAAGGGGGTAATTAACTTTCGTGCCCGCTCGGCTGACAGCTATTTAGCGTGAACCCCCTGGGAGTTAGGGCGATCTAGTTTGGATCAATCTTATCTCTGGGAATGGGGTCTAAGGCTTCGTTCACATGGAATGTCTATTTTCTAAAAATCTATTTTCTATTCGCGCTATCTTATGATCACGGTCTGTGCCCTGAATATCCCGCCGCGTAATTACTGGCAGCGCGAGCCAGTTACTTATAGTAACTTATAGTA